GAATTCCCCCCCCCCCCCCCCGAATTTGGCAGGATCAAATATTAGCAATAAAGCAACAAAAAATTGTTTAACAGTGCTGTCCTTTTTTTTCTCTGGAATCCGCAAGTGTTTCAAAATGATACAGTTTGCGTGAAAATTTTTAAAAAAGTTAGATATTTTTTATTTAAATTTTAACAACAATTAACAATCGGATGTTTCATAATTGATAAGCTATTTCAGAGAATCGGTTAATAACAAAATGACATTTTTATGAGTATTCCACCAATGTAGATGAAACTCATAAAACTACAACCCGATAAACGAAACTAATTAAGATTTGTGAGCCTCGCTAACTCCTTCGAAACCTTCATTACCAATTTTATTATCAGACAAATCAAAACTCTCAAGATTTGTTAGGTATGGAGAACTGGCTAAATTTTGTACACCTTTATCACCAATTTCGTTATAGTGCAAATCATAATTGAGGATGAGCGAATCAACGCATTTAATACTTAAAGAGCAACTGTGAATAAACTAGATGTTGAGGGCAGAAGAGATGGATCCAGTTTGGGAAATCAAAGATAAAACTTTATCCCAAACTCGCCGAAATGGCTTTTTAATGTTTGTCATTCCCTACAAGTAGCATTACACGCTAAATTCTGGTTTCTAAGTCAGAAAAATGCATTTGAGGGAGCATTTACATTTTCAACAATTTGTTCCAAATAATGTTAACTTGAATATAAATATCATCATAGCATAAAAGTAAACGAAATAATATTTTCAACTTTTTTATGTGTTTTTATTTTCTTGTAAGCCGTTCTTCAATTTCGGTCCTTTTTCTGAGTCACAAATTTGCGATCCTAGCAGAGAGGGAAAAATTTTTAACTTTCAAAATAAATTGAATCTAATGAATTTGCAATTAGAGTTAAGTTTGAATTTTTTTTTTTTAAATATGGTTATTTTTGATATTGATATTTTCAAATTAAATGTTTTACACCACCTAGAGATATAAAAAATAGCTAAGCTATTATAAAAAGTCGCCAAATAATATTGCTGCCCAATATCAAATTAAAACCAATGTATTTATATTTTAGAAAATTAGAGATAAAAATGTTTAATAGAAAATTAAAAAAGAATAAACCTTTCTCTTGCTTCCTTTTTCGATCGTTTACGCCAATTCTTTTCTGAAACACTATAAACTATCCTGTCACCATGTGGGGACCTAGTTTCAATACCTGCGGATAAAAATAATTTTTAGCGATTATCCTACATTAAAATACTCAAAAACGCTTTATTTTTCATGTAATTTTGTAATAATGATGAAACGAGTCAGTATTTTATGGTTTTGAAGCATTTTGCACTTAAATTGCTTATATAAGCAATACCATCAAAGAATAAAATTGTTTTTTATGTGACATTAAGTGGAAAACCATTAAAATGTAATGGATTGCTTTTGTTTGGCCATCAAACAAAACCATTGACCCATGTTGGTTCTTGGTGGATTTTTTGTTGGACCATTGAAAAACATTAAACTATGTTGGTTTTGTCTATGTCGGCCCAACATAAATTAGTTCCAATTCCCAACAAGAGGTAATGGTCAGACTTAATGGTACCATCAGGAATTAAGATGGTTTTTGATGGAATATAAGTTGAGACCAACAACATTTGTTGGTTATTTTTATTTATTAATTTTTTTGTTGGGCTATCAATATCTACCATCAAATCATGCTGGTTCTTGATTGATTTTTTTGTTGAGCCACCGGAAAATGACCAGTTTTGTTCATGTTGGTCCAACAAAACTTTTTTTCCAATTCTTAATATGAGGTGATGATCAGTCTTGTTGGCACCATCATAAAATATGATGGTTTTTGATGGAAGTTCATGATGCTTACCATCTTATTCATGTTGGTCCATCAAAGATAAACAATCGTAAATTTTGTCTTGGGTAATCAGTATCATTTTTAAAACCTCCCATTTTCCCAACAGGCTAACAGCATTTTCACACTAGCTTCGTAAAGAGCGATTAAATTTAAAATTGGCCGGATCACGCTATTGGTCGAAAATGACATCATTATGTGTGGGAAGGGTGATTCTATGTATTGACTAGCGTTTACTTAATTTAGGCTTCAGATTTCGTTTTCACGTGACCCCTGGATTCCTGTAAATTTTTATGTTGTCTAAAATAGCCTGGTCGGTAGGGTGCTGGACAAACGCTCGTAAGAACGGAAGTTCAAATCCAGCTGGCCGAAGACTTCCCGTGTAGTAAATGGAGACTGCACGTTAAATCGGTCAGGACACAAAGCCTTCCATGCTCCAGATTTAATCACTCGTATTATCAGACAGTATTTCGTATTAGATCCTATGCTAAAATTTTTGCTATGCTTTAACAATAGCTAAACAGTGGAACATGAGAACTAAAAGCAAAGGTAAAAAAATCGCAGAAAAGGATTAACACGAAGGGATCACAAATTCCACGTTTTTTTTTTCTTAATTATTGCAACTACAATAACTACTTGCAATAATTAAACACTTTCCGGGCAATTTACTGGTACATTTTAAAGGTGACCGTAAAAGTAGCGCTTCGCCCCTTGTTTTTTTCCAGTTGGCGTCCCCAAAATACAATACGAGAATGCCTACACTAAAAATTAAATTTTTCCAAAAAATATTCTAGGACACATCTAACTGAGAAATAAACTTAATTAAGCATCAAATGACGTGACTAGTATTTAGTTGCTGGTTAAATTTAAAAAATATGTTTGAAATGTAAAAATACGGTTATGATACGGTTACGGTTTATATCCAACACCCTTGTTCAAACCAGATTTTCTAGGGTGAAATTTCAATACAAAAGGCAGTTTGCCATACTTTTACTTATGACTCTTGCTCAAAACGAAACGAGTTTGTTGCTTAAATGGGATGCAAAATTTTATAGCTATATTTTCAGCACTGACTTCCATTTTATTCATCAGTTTTTCTTTAGTTTGCACAAAAACCCGATGGAGGTGCTAATTTTACATTAATTATGTCTATTATTTAATGTTAGTATATAAATTATATGTAATTATTAAATATAGATTGTAGTTTAGATTTATTATACATAGCTATTATAGCATAGATATTTATTATAGATATATATTAGTATGTAATTATTAAATTACAGGTATTTAATATCTATAATTTAATAATTTTTACATTAATTAATTATGTTTTTACGTTAGTTAATTAATTATGTCTCCATGAGTATTATTTTATGTTATAAAAATTTTCTTGCAACAGAAACTTTGCGTTATTGAGCTGCTAAACTTCGAATAATGAAGAACATAAAGAAATAAATTTTTGAAATCTAAATTCTAAAATGGATTTTCTTTTCTTAAAAAAATGTCCAAAAATATTTTTTTATTATTATCTTGCTCAATTTTGGTCTGTTATTTAATTGAAAAATCTCACAAAAGCAAAACATGCATAAAATTGGTTCTCGTACTCTGAAATCCTCTTAATTTCCGTTTGTTAAATTTTTAATAGCTCAAGGGAGTGGAAAAATACAGACAAAAAAAAAATTATTTTTTCTTCTTGAAGTTACAAGAAGTGTTTAAATTCCCATCAGAGCAACTATTCGAAAAAATAATGAACCAAAAAAATGCTTTTGAAAAGCTTTGTAAATATATTGAAAGAAAATTATTTCTTTAAATATTTGTTTCAGTTCAGAATTTTTTTTTTCTCCATTGAATGCATTTTATTAAGTACTTCATTGCGGCTAGAACTAAAATGAATAAGGTACGTACCTGTTAAATGATATCCGGGAAAATAAAATGCTGGAGAATCGTAATTGCTTTCTATTTTCTCTGCCTAAAAGAAATTGAGTTCATTTTTTTTTATTGAAATAACTTTTTGGAAATGAAATATAATGGGTAATAAATACTTACCCTTCCATTAGGATATGGAATATAACTGTAACCAGCTCTCGTGCTATTCATCGTCCCTGTGTTTTTCTGACTGGTGTTTTGGATGCAGTGTTCGCTGTAGTTGAGAACATGACTGCTGGCGTAATATGCTATCTCTTGAGAATTGTCGTAAGTTGCTGGCAGTGGTATGTTCTCAGTTTTTTGTGGTTCAGTTCCATCTAAGCCTAAAATTAGGAAATGCATATCAAACATGTAAAACTACTAATTTTCTTCGTTGTATATATATTTTTTTTCTAGATGAAAAAAAATCAAAAAATCCTGCAAACATTTAAATTTGCATGCGCACTATGAATTTAATGGTGTTTAAAGACTTTCGTCATCTTTCGATCTCAAGTTTTAAAGTTTCTAAATGAATTACTTTAAATACAATTTCTATTCTAATATAATATGCATTGTACTGGAGAATAAATTATACACTGAGAAAAAAAATATGGTCAAAACTACAAGAATTTGGTAACATTTACCATGTTTCTGGCTCCATGGAAATAACAAAAAGCACGGTAATTTTTACCGGAGCACTTTGGTAACGATTTGGTAAACTTTAGAACAAAATAAGGCGTTATAATAGTTTATTTGGTAAATGTGGTGCAATTTGGCAGTCTTATCATGTTTCTTTAGAGCAAGGCATAAAAATCATTCATTCGATTAACTGAATTTTTCTTTTGTATGTGATAAATGAGCGATAATAAAAACTATAATTTTAAAAACCAGAATTATCAGCAAATAATTACCATTAGAGCAAAAAATTACCAAATAAAGGGTTTAAATACTATATATTTTTTTATTACCAAAATTATGTCTTTCTACCAGAGATATCATTACCATGCAGTACGCAAATTTTACCAGATTTGTTTTTCTCCGTGTACTGTTACACACAGTGTATTTTTAGGAACTGCAGCGAATCTTAATTTTACTGTAGCTTCTAAAAACAGGTTAATTACGTTCATTCTCCGACACATGCGCATAATTTAACAAGTTTGAAATTTTATGGTGATAAAAAAAGCACATGGGCACACTCCATGCTCCTCACGAGGCTAAGAAGTATTATGTGCATTCCATATTGTAAAGTTATGAAATGTGCCAAGCATTTTTCACGCTGGGTTACAAAGTACATTTTTCAAATATTTCATGGATAAAATTTCGTGCAGATAAAATACAATGTAAGAAATATCTTGAATATAATGAATAAAGTATTGGAAAACATCATGGGGAAAAACTTTAGCAAATTAGTATTTTGTACACGTTTCATTATAACAAAGCTAGATAATGTTTCCATGAACCTTTTCAAATGAATACAGCCATAGGCAGATGATGAAAAAAAAATTCCTTCTACTCAGTATAGAAATATGATATATATCATAGAAACTAATACAAATAGTCATTACGCCTTTAACGCTTGAATGTATTACAGTATTGAGCATAAGGATTAAATTAATTCGATTCATAAATTCCTATTACTGCGTTGTGTTAATGTTTATGTTTCAGTATTCGATGATAAAGTCATTTCTATGAATATGTTTAAATTTTTTAAGAAGAATTTGAGAAGATGGTTGTCAATTTTAAGCACCAAATACTACAAAAGGGAACTTTCTAAAAAATATTCAAAAGAATCAAACTTTTAAAAATAAAAATAATTTTCTGCTAAACTCTGTTTTCTTAAACATCTTTTGCTGCGGTTATTAAGGAGAAATATAAAGATTAATTAATTAAATGATTTAATTAAATTTAAGATCAAATTATGTGATTTATTGGCTACAATTTATTTATTAGCAAATTTCTTAATATAAGTTATAATCATACATTTTAAAATAAGTTATGTTGTAAAAAAATAAGTTATAGTCATAAAGAAAAAATAATTTCTACCTGTTGAAACTGATGGGTGACGATCTGAATGCCTCCGAGTAGTTATGATGCAGACAGCGAACAAGATAACTATTAGAACTATAGCTGAACTAATCACTGGAACTGTGATAGTTAAATGTCGATAGAATGCACTGTGTGCATCTGCAGCTTGTGATGGATGAGGAGGACTTTCTGAAATATATTTAAAGATTACTTAAGCTGGGAAATACTTAAAATTGATATTTTTCATTAAAGTTCAAACCTTAAATTGTTAAATTTATTTGACAACGTTTCATTCTAATCTTTAAAATTTTTAATCTCCATTAAAATTGCTTTCTACGAAAGACAAACATTAATACTTTGCTAAACATTTGAAATAAGATGAATGTTTTTAAGTTTTTTGGAAATTTTATAAGACCACGTTTAGTTCAATTTTTATACACATTTGTCATTTTTATTTAGCTCAGAAAAGGCGCAGAGTTTGCGCCAGAATTTATTATTTAGCTCAGAATTTATTTTTTAGCTCAGAATTTGCAGAGTGTTACTCTGGTATGTATATATTGCACATATTTATTATCCCAAGAAAACGCGGGTGAAGCGGTATTTGTCTGTGTTACGAAACTAATTACTTTCGAATTGACAAACGAATTGTTACTTTTAGAAACATTTATTGGGACGTAACACAAACACATACATATTAACACAGACACTCAAGACATAATAATTTACNCTTATTCAAAACGAAAGTATATATATCAAACATAAACAACACAATTTTACCATTTCAACAATTTCCTACTCATAAACCCTAATTCGACACAATATGAAACAATTAAATGTCCAAATCGAAACTATTTCAATGCAATGACTTTTAACTACTTTCAACACAATACGAAATGGATAAGTATCAAATCAAAACAACATACCCCACATGCCGTCATTCTTTATTTCTTGCAAACGAATTTTTTATTCGAACAAACCATGGGATTCCCGGCCGATGCACCAATTTTCTGTTACGAAACTAATTACTTTCGAATTGACAAACGAATTGTTACTTTTAGAAACATTTATTGGGACGTAACACAAACACATACATATTAACACAGACACTCAAGACATAATAATTTTCATTAATCCCGGTTACATAGGGGGCGCTGCTGGAGCGCTTCTGGATACGAATATTCTTAACAGTCTGTAAGTCTTGTTTTATCCCATTTTGACTCGGCCGGAAGCAAAAAAAAAAATAATAATAATAATCTGATGTGATTGGAAGTTTACCAAGTTTTGATTGGGAGTCTTTGTGTTGCTTGTGCGACGATATACGATGATAGCTGAATTTCCATAGAAAAAAATATGGCATAACACTTCACTGGCGGTTGGAAAGTATCACTTTGCGTTGTCTCTTCTTCAGGGGCAGATCCAGAAATTTTTCCTTGGGGGGGCATAGACTCAAATCCCCCCCACACACAATTAATTTTCTTTATAAAAAATTTTTTTTTTGAGAAAAAAACTGGGGTTTTTAATGCTGGTCTTTATATTTATTTTTTTATAATGAACAATAGAAAAATACATAAATAATTCAAGTATTCAAAATCTTGAAATAATAAATGTAATGCGTTTTTTGGAATCTTTGGTAAATCTGTCAATGATTTTTTCAACATCCATATCAATTTTTTTGATGAATGTTTAATAATGCGAGTCCATTTAATCGTTCTTGAATTTGAGTTGCTCTAAGTCAAGTTTTGAGACGTCAAAGAGTTGAAAAAAAACGTTCTGCTGTTGCTGCACTAACTGGCAGAGTTATTAAAATTCTCAACAACATATTGATTGATGGGTACAAATCGATGTCCCAGGCATTATTATTAATGGTCGATCTTGGAAAGATCGTTGGGCACTTCAAGACCTGCTTCTGTTTCACGCTGCCATTTTGCGACCCAAAGACGAAATTCTGTTTCGACGCTGGCATGGTGCCAGATTTTAGTTACGAGTTTCGCAAGTTTCCCATCTTCACCTTTATACAATCTTTGGTTAAACTTGTTGAAGCGCGCTTGGAGAGCTCAGCGAGCTTCAGCATTGTTAATGTTTACAATGAAACTATGACGAATTTCGTTTTAATCTTTTAGATTATGATTCTTGAAACAGTGAAGAACATAATTAGATGAGAAAAAAAATAGATTTTTCCGACCTATCTAGTTGTATATGCTCCCTTAAATAATTTTTAAAAAATTTTATTTCTTTTGTAAACTCTTAAAAAAATTATTTTATTTTTATTTTCAATTTGGGGGGGATGACACTTATGCCCCCCCCCAGCTTGATCCGCCACTGCCCTTGTTTAAAAAATATCATACAAAGACTAATATTCAACTTTTTTCATTTGCCTCAGATAACACCAAATAGTAAACGGATGGTAAATGAAATGCTTTTACTCATTAAAAAAATTAAAATTTGAACTTAAAACTTGTGTATTAGGTTATGTTTTAGTTCCTTGTATTTATTTATGAAAGGAAAAATCTGCTGACTTTTTCCATTTTTTTTCCAAAAAATTGGCAAGATAAAAATTGGATGATTGTTTGGTCATGAATGGTACCTGGCTTATTTTGTCCGCTTAAATGCAAACATAGTCATTGTTCGTAAATTTTGGTATCCAGTACCCATACGCTTCAGATTCAGCAGACTCAATAAAAACTGAGTTAATGTTCAATTATTTTAATATTTAATAGCAAGCATCATTTCCATATTTTATCAATTTAAATACAAACTGGGTGAAAGTTAGCTAATTTTCGCATTGAAAATCAATACGGTTTTTTTCCTTCTTAGAAAAAAAAATGATTGCTCAGTTTTTTTCTCTTTTTGCAACAAAAAAAATATTTAAAAAAAAAATTGAGTTCTTAACATTTTATTTTTAAGCGGCTTGGGTTTTTTCAACTTTAATAATAACAGCTAAACAGTTTTAATAAATTAAAAATGTATTTTATACAATTTTTCAGCTGTGACATCTACTGCTTAATCCGCTGAAGCATGATTTGATTTAATTTATGCTTAATAAGGAAAAATTAAAGATAACATAACTGTGGAGAAGTAACAAATCGATAAGGATTAATTTTGAAATTAAATTATAGATGAAGACGTATCGAAACGTAACGTCTCGTGTAATTTACGTTATCATTTTTTTATCAGTTATAGTTTACATCATTTAAAAACTATGCTCCCAGAAAGATTGGTTAAACTCTGAACCACAATGTTGGTAATTTCAATTATTATTAATTCTTTTAACCAGCACACGTATTTAATGCTTTAAATTATATTTGATTGGGCTATGATAAAAGTTGAAACAAAGTGCAGCGTAATCAGTTTTAAAAAGGATTAAACTGCATGATACTAAGGTCCAAATAAACAATTAATTGATGCTGCAAATTTGCACTGTATTATCGTTTTCAACATTTTTAACGATGTATAATTCGAATAAATGCTTACCTCCGGATAATGTCAAAGTAGCAAAAACATATTCTGAATCAGTAACCCCTGCATCATTCCGTGCAGTGATGAACAATGTGTACCATGTTCCAGGAATTAAGTCAGTGATGGTTACATTCAATTGCTCCGGTACAATGTTATTACTGACAAGAGTCCATTCTGTTTGGCCACTTGAACGGTACTGGACAACGAAAAATTTAATTGGACAGCCTCCATTATGCCAGCTGCTGAGATTAACAAATGCACAAGTGGAATTCACCGAGAGTAATCTATCTTTTTCTGGAGCTATTGGTGCTGTAAAGAAACAATACATTGGGTCGTTTTTTTTCAATAATATTTTAAATATTACTAAATATTATACACAGTCCAGTCACATTAATGTGACCACCACATACTTTCGACGTGAAAGTGAAATAACCAATCGCAGAGTGTAGGTGGCAGCACATTACAGTGTAGTGTATATATTGGATGTCCTAGGGCATCGAAAAGCATTTCAGTCGTTGGCGCAATGCAGAAATGTAGAGATTTATCCGTCGTCGAAAAGGGCATGATTATTGGCTTTCGGACCAAGGGTGGAAGCATTTCGGAAACGACTGATTTTGTGAACTGTTCGCGTACCGCCGTGGTAAAAGTATACCGTGCATGGCAAAATGGCCCTATACAAAGCAAGTGGCGTGGCACATGTGGTGTACCACGGGCCAAAGATGGCAGAGGCGAATGAAGGCTACGGAGATGCGTTCAGACGAATAGACGTGCAACTGTTGAGCAACTGACCGTCCAGATGAACCAAGGGGCTACCAAGAGTGTATCCTCAACAACTGTTCAGCGAACGTTGCTGCGCATGGGCCTCCGCAGCAGACGCCTGGTTAATGCACCCATGCTGACTGCTGTTCATCGGTTACGAAGGCTGGAATTTGCACGCCAGTACCGTAACTGGACGTCCACAGAGTGGCAACAGGTGGATTTTCCGATGAATCACATTTTATGCTCCATGGGACAGATGGACGTTGGCGTATACGGCGCGAAACGTCTGAAAGCAACACCCTGCAAAAATTACCGGAAAGCTGCAGGCTGGAAGAGGGAGCGTTATGGTTTGGGGAATGTTTTCCTGGCATTCACTGGGTGCACTCATCATTGTGGAAGGCATGATGGATCAGTACAAGTACATATCTGTCCATGCTGACCATGTCCACCCCTACATGCAGATGATTTTTCCTCAGAATGATGGCATCTACCACCAGGACAATGCGAGGTGTCATACAGCTCGCAGTGCATGTGCTAGGTTCGAAGAGCACCAGGATGAATTTACCGTACTCCCCTGGCCGGCAAACTCACCGGATTTAAACCCAATCGAAAATCTGTGGGACCACCTCGATCGGGTTGTTCGTGCCATGGATCCTCAACCGCATAATCTAGCGCAGCTGGCCACGGCACTGGAGTCGGCATGGCTCGATCAACATCCCAGTGAACACTTTCAGAAACCTAATTGACTTTCTTCCTGCACGTCTCGTAGCGGTCCGCTCTGCCAAAGGTGGTTATTCTGGCTTTTGACAGGTGGTCACATTAATGTGACTGGACTGTGTATATTCATAGTTAATTTTCTCAAATGGCTATAGAAGTTTAAAAATAAAAGCTACGATTAAAAGTTTGAAGAAAAAGTATATTTACTAAAATGTAATTTAAAAATATTGTTTTGTTACAAGAAATCAATAGAAAAAAAAAGCTAATACAAACATTTGTTTGCGTTTAGAATGAAAGTATAGAAATTGTTGCTTTAACGAATTTTTCAAGTAACTGAATAGCCCTTAAAAAATAATGGCTGTTTGCTATATTTGATATTTCATATGTTTAGTTGGTTTTCTTTTTATTAAGTTTAAGTTTTTCACATTTTACTACAACTTAAATAAACAAAATAAAATTGTTGCGCAAATTATAAATTTTTTTAAAAAAATATGTGTAGCATTTTGTGCAACATTAGCACTCTGTAGTTAGTAATTTAAAAGGATTGTGTTTCCTTGAAAGGTAGGCTAGAGTCCCTGAAATTAAAGAGTGACTATCATGAGTCGTATCAGCTAACAATTAGACACTCATAACAGTTAATCACTCATCGTTGCCATCACTCTTCCAACATACATCGTTGTCATCACTCTTCCAATATACATCGTTGTCATCACTCTTCCAACATACATCGTTGCCATCCTTCTTCCAATATACATCGTTGCCATCACTCTCCCAATATACATCATTGTCAGCACTTTTCCAACATACATCGCTGCCATCACTCTTCCAATATACATCGTTGTCCTCACTCTTCCAATATGCATCGTTGCCATCACTCTCCCAATATACATCGTTGCCATCACTCTCCCAATATACATCATTGTCATCACTTTTCCAACATACATCGTTGCCATCACTCTTCCAATATACATCGTTGTCATCATTCTTACAATATAAGCACTTTAGAATAGGCAACATTATTTTACCACTAGACGGATCGGTCATGACCATATTTCGTAGTGGCCATCTTAAGTGTTTAAGGTTTCAAAATGGAGATAAGACTTTCCAACCTTGTTCCTGCTCACAACCTGGTAGTCCTGATCACTTTCTTGTTTGCCTTGGCGCTTCTTTTAAGCAGCTGCTGGTTGATCGGGACTTTCTGCAGATATATGGGGAACTGACGCGACGGGGCCTTCTGGAACTAGTCTAGGCTTTCCCTCTCCAGGGGGATGTGTAACAACAACCAATAGACGGCAGTGAAATTGTGTTTAGTATCAAATGGCTATTACTTTCCTCACTTTCTCTTATTGCTTACACTATAATCAATTCAAAATTACGCAAATTATAAAATTTAAAGAAAACAATTACCAATTCCATCAGTTTTAGCTGACAGCATTTCACTGTTGTTGCTTCTACCTGCACTGTTGAAAGTAATTAAATAAAAGGAATACGAAGTGCCACATTGTAAATCTCTCTGAGTGTAAAAGTTTCTTTCGCCGGGTAAACGGACTTCTTGCCAATCTTGACCATCTTTTCTGTAGTGAAGTATGTAACCTGTTTGCAAACGAGAAAGCAAGATTAGACATGAGTATTTTTGCTAAGGTATTTTTACAAGGATAGGGATCGAATTTAAATAATTTGCATTTCTCGAAATATAAATCGGATATTTATAGCTTACATACTACTAATGAACTTACATACTAATGAAAAGAGAAAGGTCCCACCGCTTTTCCTGTAGTCGAGTAGTTGGGTACACCAATAGGCGAGTATTTCGTTTAACCGTAAGTTGTGAATAAGATGAGAGTAAGATTGACAGTGGCGAGATAAAGAGCTCCTGATTTCACATTGTGTGACTTCTTCGTGTGGGACTCTTTAAAGAAGGCTGTTTAAGTATCACACATAACAACAAATCTAGTCTGGGGAACCGACTCACTGCCACTACTAATGATGCATTTTGGAGCATTTTTTTGTGGGAAATTTTAAGAAGGCTGTTAACGTCCCACATACAACAACAAATCTATTCCTCCTGAGGAACCGAATTACTGTCGCTATGCACTTTGGAGTCTAAGACATGTTCTTTTTCTTGTGGCATACTTATTAAAAGGCTATTGACATCTCTCATATAACAGCAAATTTAATCGACCTGGGAAACCGAGTCACTGCCGCTGAGCCTCTAAGACATACTTTTTCTTGTGGGACACTTTTAAGGAGACTGCTTACGTTCCACATACAACAAGAAATACAGTTGACTTTTGGAACCGAGTCACTGCTGCGATGCACTTTAGAGTCTAGAACCCGCTCTTTCGTGTGTGGGAAAAGTTTGGCTATAATGCAGCAAGAGGAGACTGTTTAAACATTTACAACGTACGTTAAAAAAGGTAAATCGTGAAGCCTTCGTCTTTTCATTAGTGTGTATAGATTGTTTATGTCTAGTTTATTCTTCATTAAATATAAATTAACTAAACAGAATAAAACTTTTTGAATGACAGTGTATTTCAAACTTACCTGTTACTGGTGAGGTTGGGGTTGTTCTGGATTCCCATGATATTTTAATAGTTTTTGAAGTTGAAAAATACGTTTTTATCAGCGGAGTATCGGGCTTATCTGCAAAACATTTATTATATAAACTATTTTTAATATGTATGAAGAAAGAGGAAAATAATGAAGCAATATTATTATTCACTGAGTTACAATTATTTGTTTTGAAGTAAAATTCGAAATTTTTTTTTAAAAGCAGTATCGAGAATTTTCCATTCTTATTGTTTATACCGAAAACTTCATTTTTAAATATTTAATACCAAATTAATAGCTACATTCAGAATATAAATTTATATATTTATACCTTTTACTTATGGAAAATCTTACAACTTATAGAAAAATAGATTGAAGAAGCTTAATATTAAAGCTTCAAACAACAATATCATATAAACTTTCTGCAAGCGTAATAGTTTATTAAGTTAAACCATGTTTCTGTTCAAATTGAATTATTTCTCAGCACGTTTTAAAAGTTGCATTTTAACCTATCACTTAAATTAATTTTCAATTACAATATTTATTGTTTTTTGCGAGATCTTCTGGTTCGATTCGATCAAATATTTTTAACTGTATAGAAAATATAAAGTAATTTTGAAACCTTACACAGGGAAAATTTAATTTTAATCTGAAACCATCCATCAAGGATGTTTATAGTTTTTAGTAGTTGAAGATTACAGAAAAAAACACCAACTTAATCTTAACATGCATTTATTTGTATTGGGTTACTTTTTAACTCACACAATCCCTTATTAAAGAATAAGAATATCAAAATGAGTTTTTTACTTACCGAATTCTAAGGTTCTTACAATGACGGGTTCAGAAGGTGGCCCAGCACCCTTACTGTTAAAGCCTTGGACGATTACACTGTAATCAGTCATTGCAGAAAGTCCTGAAATAGCTACATGTGAATGTATCAAATGAGATGCATTGATTGCTTTGAAATTGTAAGGTTCTGCTTTAATATAAGGTTTAAAACCAACGTAATAGCCATCGATACTATCATAATCATCATCACTTGGAACCTGAAATCAAATAAAAAAAAAGAAATTGTAGTTATATTTAAGGAGGCAGGTATTAATGCAATTGCTATTAGGTTGCTAATTGGTTTCTAACCATATGGAAGTCCCTGTTAATGAGAGAGCCCCTGCCATGGTAAAGCGCAGGTCAAACTATCTCTAAAACCGAGAACAAGGAAAACCCTGAAAGCATCAGCGAACTCACCATGAAACTGCTTTTAGGACTTGAGTACCATCTGAAGAAGAAATGTTCTACTGTATTCCTCTGTATGTATTGAGCACAATGAAGCAGTCTCAGATTCCGGACATGACTATCTGCATACACAAATTCACCACATTGCTTTTTCTTTGCATGGAATCTAGTCATTATGTTAAAGCATCGATCATCAAGGACGGCGATTACTTGAGATCAGCAGTCTCGTGGACTTTTCGACTGATATCGATAGTCGCAATTAGGAAGTTAGACACCGTCCGAACAGTCCGAAACGAGAAAAGAATAGATAAAATAACGTTTTCGCTATGAATAAATTAGCAGTTTTAAGTTGCACAATAATTGGAACTAACGTAAAATTAGTTGTCTCCTGTGTGGTAAACAATGTAAGAAAAATTACTTAACCTAAGTGCCCTTTTAAATTTTATTGGCTTTAATCAAACATTTGTAAACATGAATTTACATCTCTCTCCTACGGCCTCTTAGTTTCAGAATAATAATCTAATCACATATTAAATATTTAATATATAGATTTTATTCTAACATGCAAAGGTTAAAAAAAATCTGAAATTATTCTTTAACAAAAAGTATAAGTTAGTCATATTTATTAATGTCAGTAAATAAAAGATGAACATACTTGCCATGTGACATTAATTGACCTTGATGACAGCGCTAAGGCTTTTACATTATGAGGTGCTTTCCTTGGTGCTGTTTAATAGAAATAGAAATTCACTATAATAATTTGATAAAATCAAATAGCTCTTAAAAAGAATATTTCAAAAAATTATTTGAAGCTCTGTGCTTTGTTTGTTAAGCCTAACTATTGAATAATTTGTTTTTAAATGTAATTAAATCAAATGTTCTTTGTTTAATACATTTATAGTTAATGTTATAACAGCTCTCGGTGTTATTCTGTTTTTTTATTATTAATATAAATTGTTATTTTTGAACACGATATATTCCAGTATGAGATTAGCATTTTTAAATTTTAGTTTAATCTCATCCAGTAGCTATAAATATTTGGTAATTACTGTTAAAAATACGTCACTCAGTGTGTCGGTACTGTTTACCATAAAATGCATATTACGAACATTTTACGCAACAAGAAAAATCTGAAATACCGCAATTTTTGCAGAAATAATTACCGTAAAGTAACTGAATAACTGTAGTTAAAAAAATTTTATTGTAAAAATTATGGCAAAATATTTTACGGTAAAATGGATTTTGCAGCTGATATACGAAAGTGCCTTTACTTTATACCGTAATTTGATCTGGAATTTTTTACAGTAGTGTTTGCATTTCTAATAGGAGCTAATGGTGAAATTGCGATGAAATATAAAAAAAGGAACTGAGTAATTTTAATATTAGTAATTTAATTTTCTATAATTGTATGTGTAATGTAATGAAATAAGTTTGTATACCTACGTTCTTCCATTGTTGTTACAGCTACTTCCGCTCCAAACTGACTTTCTCCAAGTGAATTCTCGCATTTTACTCGAAAGAAATAACGATTTTTTGGTTTCAGCCCTCGAACAACTAAACTTGTTTCTTGCCCAGGTACTGTAACAGGTCCTCCTATCAAGTGATCTGAGGAAACAGAATATAGAGAAAAGGTTCCTAATAAGAAACAATCATTTTAAAAGTAAAAATAGTTACATAATATTTATTATGATGTTCATTAATGTCACGTGATTAAATGTTTAGTGCATCACTTCAAAAACAAAAAGCAGGGTAATGAAAATGTTAACGATTTTGAATACCTAGAAAAGGTGTTTTAATATAAGGTAGTACAAAAACAGATTAAATATCTGACACTGATTGTTGTAATCTTAGACCATGGTCATTTATAAGCAAAGTCAGAAAAGAATGTATAAAGCATTCGAAGTATTCATTCCGATTTGAGTAAAAATAATAAATTTTAGCGACAAACTTAAAATCAATCATAATTATTTGTTTTTGTTGTTACCTCATTAGTAAACCAAATTTCAACCTAATTTACATCTTATAAAATCATCTTCATATACTCAGCAATACTTTTAGCTTAGATTGAATGAAATTATTCACAACTCAAATATACATATTTGCTTGAAGTGTAGAAAGAAATTACCTGTACACCTCAAAAATAACCCCTCTAAGCTGGTTGCTCAAAAGTAGATTTCCATCAATCTCAAACAACTTCATATTTCTTAATTATACACCATGGGAGGTTTATCTTTTAAGGTTGATATTGGAATCAACTTCAAAATAATCTCAAATGAACCTCAAGAACAACTTTAATGTTTATAAAGGAGGTTCAGGATTTCGTGGTCAGAGCGGCTAGGTATATAAAAGATGTAACATTTCTGATGTTATCGTATTCAGTACTCTAAAAGTCAGAGTAAGTATTAAAACTCTAAACTCCTACAAAATAAACATGCATTTTGAGCTTAGCCCAAATTTAAAGACTTATAGACAAATGATTTAATTCTTGAGGTTATATTTACTCATCTAATCCCTTAATAAGAATAAATATAAATTTTTTAGAGAAGAAAATGTAACGTAAGTTAATATAATTTAGAAATAAAAACAAATGCAACGAAAATATTTATTATTAAAATAAATTTAAACCTCATAATACTTACTAATTAATGAGACATAAATACTCTCATTTTTAAGGGTAGTGAAATTTGAGTTTATCATAATATGAAGGTCGCGAAATTATTGAAATTTAATTTTATTATATTTTCATCTGTGCCCAATTTAACAGCCAATTATTGGATTTTCATCTCTGATGAGTGACTGGAATATTTTACTTTTTTTTAAATGAAATATTGCGGAAATTTGAATTTCATTACTGGATTTTTGATTTGTGAGTTACATTCTCAAAAAATTTCCTATTTCAAGACGTTTATAATTTAGAAGTGAAAGCAAAAGTATGAAGCTGAAAATTCGACTTCCAATGTGTGATCACCCAAACTTTATTAAACTCTTCTCTATTACTCAACAGAGAAAAGAAAGTTTCTTCAAAGCTGGGGATAATTTGAAAAAAAACCTTTCTCTAAATATTTCAAAAGTTTCTCTTTATGAGGTTAATCTTTTAATCATTATTTTTTAAATAAAAATAAAAGGAAATGTATAAAAAATAATTTGATTTTTTCCAATTTTATTTTACATGCTGATACATTTTACAATTTAGGACAAATCTGCCGCAGAATCAATTATTTACTAAGTTGACGCCAAGTTGACGCCAATTACCTCCAAGTTGACGCCAAACGACAGTGTATTGGATTATGGGAGAATTTCCATCGAATGGTTTACTCCATGACACTCTGACGCTTCTACTGGATACATCATGCACTTCTGTGCTCTTAGGCGCATCTGGTATATCTAATAACATAAATAAAAAAATAAACTTCAGTTATTTATTTATATATTTTACTTTATTAATAAAATTAGATTTGATAACATAAAAAAATTCTTTCGGAATTAACATTTTAAATTAAAGTATTATCTGAGAGAAATTCACTCGTCAATGTTTTTAGACAGAGATGTGCCCTTCTTCTTGTTCTCCAGTGGCGCCATCTATGGCAGATAATTCGACTTCTGCCACATACATACTTCGCAGCCCGTTTTACGGGGATTACACATCGACACACCATTAATCAGCAGATCGTAATTTTGAACTGAACCAAAGTATGATTAATCTCTGATACAGTACCCCCAGAAGTATTGATTTGTTATGGGAACTTGGAAGACTTTGTGACCCCGACAGATTTAGTGTACACTATATCTGGTCCTCTAAGTCTGGTACTCTAAATCATCTGGTGGAAATCGAACTAAGGACTACTTAGACGTGACCCAACGCCCTAATAACCAGGCTATCCCGGTTCATTTAGTTGTTATTTTATAATATCCCAACAAAACAGTCAAATGACAATAAAAAAGATGGTATTCAAACTGTTAACTGTGCAAAAAATCGTTTGTTGGCTGTTATCAGCTAATATGGTTAAACAACCAGACTTTTTTTGCTCAAACAAGGCCCAAAGGCCAATGAGAGTCGAGTGCACGTTCTTCGAAAACTTGAAGCTAAGCTATGTGATAAGGATGGTGAATTCATAATTTTATTTTCTAATAGCAGATTAACAATAATCTCATAGTAATATGCATGGGATGAATACAGTATGAAGATATAGCTCCTCACAGATAGGTACATAAAATAGTAGGTGATTTGCTTGTTTTTTACGCACCTTACATACTTTAGCAGAGACAGATAATCTGTTAATCTCATGACCAGCTGAATGAGGGTTCAATTCTCAGCCTTAACACTACAATATTTCATCAATTCTTTCACATGTGGAGTTTTCGAATTTTCTACACTTCTCAATTGATGACCCTGGACTACTGGAATTCGAAACTATCATTCACGCATAGATAGTAGCACCACAATGCTATTTTTCAAAAATTTTCCCGTTTCTTATGATAGACTACTAAATAAGCTGATTAAGCCACTTCTCATGGTTCATTTGACAAAACACAACTCAACCACAACTTAACTCCAATGTGCTCTATCTAAGGAAAAGCCTAGCAAAACCTAACTCTAATGTAACTGGAAATCTGGTTAAATTTTAGTTTTACGATTTTGAAACTATGTTAGTTATAGTTGATTAAAAGTTATGTATTGCTCTGCTCCCTATTCCCTTTGTTGCTTCTCATTCACCTTGTTTAAATGAAAGTCGACATTTCTTATAACAGATAATTTTATTTAAAAAATGTATAAATATTATAAATTTATGCAAGACAATTTGTTCTTATTTTAATTGCAACGATATGAACGATTAACTAGATTTAAAAAATAATCAGTTGAACTTGAAAAAATTATTTAAACTTAGAAATACAGAAAGTTTGAAAATAGAAGAGAGGATTTTACTTATTAACTATTTATAACGTAACTTTATACCATATAACATTTAAAATTTTAAAATGTTTTCATCTTGAGTCTTTTAAATTTTTAAAAGTCTCGATATGAATGTCAAGATTTATATTTGGTAATCTCTAATCTCTTTCATTTTTTAATGTCTTTCCATTTCTTGCAACTTTTGACATCTTGCCTAAAATGAATTAATAAAATGAGAATCTCGACTAAAAGAATTATTAAATTAAATTATTAAATTTATTATGAAATGATAAATTTGTAAATGAAATTATAGGTGAAATTTTAACTCTGTAGTTGCGTTTCAGTGGGCTGTACATTAATCAAACATTGCATTTTTTTACTAAAAGTATAACAATTCATAAGTCTCGAACCAATAATTGAACGTTAAATTTCTTTAGAGCATCGAACTCCTTGTAATCTTTTAAACGCCCTTGTTTTAAACACCAAGTTTCCATGTTATATAGATTTTGTGCAGCAAAGCAAAATTTAACGCAAAGCAAAAAAAATGTAGAACAAATTCGCGAAAAAAGTACTTCAAATTGTAATAAATTGTGATCAATTTGTTTTTGAACAAATTAGAATATCGAAAAAAACTCTGTGATAAGTTAATAAACAAATTAGAATTTCGAAAAAAACTCTGTGATAAGTTAATAAACAAATAATGGCTGTTTTGGCATAGTAAAATAGCTCTGTAATTGCAGCTCAGTAATAGCTCTGCAATTGCATTCCCGGGGAACGTATAGCGGCCCGTATGGTAATTTTTGTTTCAAGTATTACAGTTAATAAATCTCGAACTAATGATCAAATGTTGAGTTTTTTTATTTTTCATTGTACTTCCTGTACATTTTTCTACACGCCTTTTTAATTTAAAGTTTTTAAGTCTCACAGTGCTTACATAGCAAAACAAAAAGGAACGTTAAGTTGAAGACCCTAAACAGCGTCTGTGGGCCATAACTCTTTAAAACATAGAAATTCTGACTTTTATATTCATAGCTTTTCATACAATTCGTAACTTATTCAACATTTCCCCTCGAAATAGAATTAATTTCGAAGAAAAAAAAGTCATCCGGCGGTAGGAATTAGCTCGCAAACCAATGGCAGATAATTGAAAAACCGACAACTTATCGATATTACCCTCATAAAAAAATGAAGAATCTGTTCTAACAAAGAGCTCTGTCATTAGGAAATAGGAACGGGATACATAAATTATTTATAGAAATGAGATGATTTCTTTACCTTGGATAGTGAGCTGGATATTTTTCGAGTCATCTCCATATTGATTCACGGCACTGCAAGTGAATAATGCTGAATCTCTTTTTTCTACTTTTTCAATAACTAATTCAGATCGTCCGCCAGAAAATGTTTCCGTAGCTGTCTGCGAATACCTGTAAAATTTTACATGCACCTAATTTCTAAGAAAATCTTCTAGAGATGTTCAAAGTAAAAATACATCTAATCATAATTTTAAATGGTAAGTAAGGACGAAAAAAGTAAATTAAGGTTATGAAAATGTAATGCATATATCACAAATTTCGATATTACTTTTTTTTTTCAAGTAAACTTAAAAAGGGAAATAATTTCCTTTTTTTGTCAGATATAAAATGCCGAAAAGCACAACTTTCAAAAGACGTGGAAAGAATTAATACGAAAGTATTGCACCCTACGTTTTTTTGTTTTTGGTTTGACAAAAAATCGAATTTTTTTTCTTTCAGTCCACTTGGAAATCATAAATTTTATTTCATCTTATAAGTTTATTTTTTTTCTTTTCATTAGTTTGTTTTTTGGAGAATCATCGACTTCTTTTGGCTATAAATTTGGCTTGCAACATTCAGGTAACAATTGTAACTTGTTGTGTCAGCATCAACTGCAGTGCTTCAGATGAAAATTGAACACCAACTAGTTGGAAACGGGTCAGAATTTTGATGACTGATGAATCGTAATTTCAATTTGGTGATAACATAGCACAAAATTCTGGTTGTCTCTTGCAGAACACCATTGAAACTCTTATTATTGGGTATAGAATTTTTATTTTGATCCCTTTTAGTAGTCTAAAAGTGGTCCAAATATCTTTTGACGATGATATAGAGTTTACAATATAGTTCAAAAACTATACTTTATCGGTTAAGAAAGGAATGAAACATACATTTTTATCGGGCATCTTCTGTTGATAAAAGTTGAGAACTTTTCGAGAAGTGGTTTAAGTTTCGATTTCAAGATTCCATGGAGTGATTTAAAAAAAATATTCAAGGTTTTGGATAATCCAAAGTTTAGAATGGTTGCTGAAATTATATATACAACATATTCCATGATCATGGCCTTAATAATATGCATTTGATTCTGTCTCTAAATATGTTTATAAAAATATATAACTGCAATGTTGAACTATGTGAACTCGATTAGCCATAAAATCATGCAAATTTCGTATAAGTCTGCTGGTACCTTTGTACCAATTTACCTGATATCTGTCACGGGATCTAAAATTGCGCCATTCTTTTTCCATGAGAATGTTATAGGTTTGTCACCGGAAACTTCACATTCCATAACAGCTTTTTCACCACGTCTTATCGTCATCATCATATATTTAGAATGGAAACGAGGAGTACCTGATGAAAAAATTCATAAAATTACATATATAGTTCTTTCATAGAACAAATGAAGAGTGAAGGTATGCTTCAGAAATATATTTTCAAAAATAGTAACGCTGAGCAATACCTCAATTTCTACGAAATTCATATTAATTATTAATTATTAATTTGATAGGGAAAAAAAGTAATATTACTTGTATTCAAATCTAAATTGATTAATGATTCATGGTAAAATTTATTCGTTAGAATTATGAATGCTCAAAAATTTTCAAATAAATGGCTTTGAAATCTAAATAGTTAAAAATATAAAATTAATTTTCGGAGAACTAATTACAACAATGAATTTTTCTACTTTTAAAGAAGCTTCGAAAGAAAATTCTGAATCTGATATAAAAGAGGAAGCTTTAAAAAAATAGATGGTATCATATTAATTGAGAAAAAAATGGTTCAATGATTTATAGTAACTTCGTTATTAAAAAAATGAAAAATCAATGCTACTTGAGTATCTACAGACCTATATCAATAACAAGAGTTCAAGATTGCATCACAACAATTTTAAGAATTATCCGATAAATTTAAGTAATTGTTATATTTCAATGGAATACTTCATATTTACTTCATTTGCAAAGTAATAATTAAACAAAATAAAAATTGCAATGAGGTTTTTATAAGTTATTATATTAATTTTGCGTCTGTTCGGTCGTTTATGTGGAAATTACTTTGATAGACAATAAATTTTGTTTATAATATTTTTGAAATAATTATATCTTCTATTATCATCAGACACAGATGTCCAAATAAATTTTAAGTACACTTGTTAGAAATTTTGAATGACGAAAAAATGGCAAGTGATGCCCTTTGCTGAAAAAATAACAATAAATAGTGCTTGTTGAAGAAATGATCAGGAAAAGATGGAAGTTTGAAAATCTGTTCAATTGTTCTGTTAAAATTTTGAGTGTTCCTACAAGTCTGAAAAAAAGGCCAACATTTTAGTTAGTTTTAAATTCTTTTCTCAAATATTTGATATCGGGAATTATTGAAATATTTGATCAAATATTTGATCAAAAACATTCTTCTCAAATATTTGATATCAGGAATCATTGAAATATTTGATCAAATATTTGATCAAAAAAATTCTTCTCAAGTATTTGATATCAAGAATTGTTGAAATATTTGATCAAAAATAATCTGCTCATATATTTTATGTCAGGAAATATTGAAATATTTGATCAAATATTTGATCAAATATATTCTTCTGAAATATTTGATCAAAAACAGTCCTTCAATAGGACTGCGAGAGCTCTAGCCAGTCAGAAAGACTTCGGAATATAAACTTCAAGTTCTTTCATCACTGACATGAGGTTTTGTCAATAAAAAAACAATTGAAAAAATAAAGCAATTTTGTTTTATTATTAAACATATTTTTATAATAGATTTGATAATTGATAAATAAGAAATTCTGAGGCTTTTAATAATATAAAAAGTTCTATATATATATATTTTCAAAAAAAGCGACAAATATAGTTGCTCTTATACTTACTATGGACCGAGAGACGGACAACTGCTGTGAGACCAGAACCAACACCATTGCTAGCTTCACATAAATAGTGGCCAGCGTCTAGTGTGTCTAAACTTTGAAAATTCAAAGACCCATTCACCAATGTATGCACATGAGAGTTGCTGACGATTGTTTTAAATAATTTAGGTGACTCACCTGAAATAGCAATATTCTCTTGTTCATAAATTAAAGCATATTTATTAAATTATTAAACATTGTATTTGTCATAATTGCTCCCCTTTGACTCCCAGTCATTCTTCTAACTTTTAAACATGGTTTATATGAGCACATTTGCATAAAAATTATGTAGATTGGATAAAACAAGTGAAAATAAAATTCGAACGAATATTTTTAGTTATTTATTTACTTTTTTGAGTGTTATTCCTTTGCTGTCAAAAAATTGGTTTGCTCTAACTGTCTGACACTTACGAATAGGGAAATATATATATATATATATATATACAGGGTGGTCCCGAATTCATGGTACAAACTTTAATGGTAGGTACAGGACATTGTAACAATGATTTATTGTATAGGAATGTATAGTCGCAAGTGACGCGGTGAGGCGTAAACAGGGGAAATAAAAGGAAAGAGAAATGGAGTGATCGGTTGGTATCATTGCCGGTAGAGGGCAGTAGATGTCTAGCCGCCGTTGAAAATGATGCATCGCAGTAGGGAAAAGCGCCATTCACAAATGTGCTGCCGTAGACGATGGGTNACTAATATTTTACTAAAATTAATTGCAATAATACAAAACTTAATACAATAAAAATCTAAGAACTAGTTTAAGTAAAACTTCAATTTCAAAATGAAAAAGGTGCTAGTTATTAAGAAATATTAATGACCTGAATAAAAAATAAAATTGTGCTACAGAAACAACAAAATTACTAGAAAACTCAACAGTGAATTGAATTAAAACAACTTTTAAGTTTACTAAAAATAAACGTGGAGTAATTGAAAAGTATTTCAAGAAAGAAGTACAATTGCACAAAATACTCTAGCTCAAAATATCATTTACAATTCAAAATAAAATTAAACTTTTTTGAATTAAGCAATATCATACAAATCAACATAAACACGCAACATGAAAAAATCTACAGGTTAAACAATTCAATTTTGAAATTGAAAAAGATTAACTAAAAATGTCAACAGTGTATTCTGACTACAACTAAAGTAATTCTTCAGTAAAACATTACAAGAGTTGTAACATTTTGACAGAACTAATATGGGTGACAATTATTAATTCTAGTACTCATAGAACAAATTAAGCATGATAAACTGTCGAATATATTGCAAAAATAATTTAAAACAATGGAAATAAGCCAATTTTCCTGCATTTTAAAAGTTTTTACCCATTATTCGCCATTTTACCAATTTAAAAAAATTAATTCCTTTATGAAGGATCCTCTAAAATACAGGGTGGTCCCGAATTCATGGTACAAACTTTAATGGTAGGTACAGGACATTGTAACAATGATTTATTGTATAGGAATGTATAGTCGCAAGTGACGCGGTGAGGCGTAAACAGGGGAAATAAAAGGAAAGAGAAATGGAGTGATCGGTTGGTATCATTGCCGGTAGAGGGCAGTAGATGTCTAGCCACCGTTGAAAATGATGCATCGCAGTAGGGAAAAGCGCCATTCACAAATGTGCTGCCGTAGACGATGGGTGACTTTACGTATGCAGAAAAAGCAGACATGCATTACATATACGGTCGTGCAAATGGTAACGGCAGAGCTGTGTTACGAATGTATCGCGCGGAGTATCCTGATCGACGAATGCCGGGTCATAGAATTTTTCAACGGTTACATCGTCAACTTTGTGAAACAGGTGCGTTCGACGTCAACAGACATGACGCTGGTCGATTAAGAGCTGTACGCACTCCAAGGCTGGAAGAAAGCATCTTGAACATTGTGGCTGATAGACCCGAGTCAAGCACAAGACCTGTTGCGCGTGACGTAGGTGTGAGTCATCAGACTGCATGCAGAGTATTAAACGAAAATCGCTTACACCCCTTCCATTTTCAGAAAGTATAAGCATTGAATCCGGCAGATTATCCTCTCCGCGTGAACTTCTGCCTGTGGGTGATGCAGCAATGTGCGTTGCAGCCGGATTTCGTAAGCGATGTGCTATTTACAGATGAAGCGACATTTCCACGCGAGGGTGTCTTTAATTCGCACAATTCCCATGTGTGGGCAACCGATAATCCACATGCAAAGCGTCCACATGCGTTTCAGCAACGTTTCTGTATTAATGTGTGGGCTGGTATTGTGAACGACTTTTGATTGGCCCATACTTACTACCCACGCGACTCAGTGACGGAAGCTATCTTATTTTTCTGAAAGAAGTGTTACCACAACTGCTGCATGATGTTCCGATCGCCATTCGTAACCGCATGTGGTTTCAGCACGATGGGGCGCCAGCACACTTCAGCAGTGATGTACGGAATTACCTGAATGCCACGTTTGGTGCTCGATGGATTGGGCGTGGTGGACCAATCCCTTGGCCACCCCGATCTCCCGATTTATCGAGCCTCGATTACTTTTTATGGGGACATCTAAAGCATCTTGTTTATGAGACTTCCAATTGACTCAGATGAGGATCTCGTCGCTCGCATATCTGTAGCTGCTGCAGGTGTGCGTGAAATACCAGGCATCTTTGAACGTGTACGCCAATCGCTCCACCGACGCTGTCAAGCATGTATCGCTTCTGGTGGACACAAATTTGCACACTTACTGTAAACATGACACTTGTCAACAACGCTTTCGATAAAATCTTTGTTTTTCCTTTCGGCCGTTATTTCTCCTGTTTANTAGTTCGAATAAGCTATAAGAATAAAGCTAGAACTGTGAATAGTTAAACTCGAACAGACTATAGGGAATCAAACTAGAACTATGGATAGTTCAGTTCGAATAAGCTATAAGAATAAAGCTAGAACTGTGAATAGTTAAACTCGAACAGACTATAGGGAATCAAACTAGAACTATGGATAGTTCAGTTCGAATAAGCTATAAGAATAAAGCTAGAACTGTGAATAGTTAAACTCGAACAGACTATAGGGAATCAAACTAGAACTATGGATAGTTCAGTTCGAATAAGCTATAAGAATAAAGCTAGAACTGTGAATAGTTAAACTCGAACAGACTATAGGGAATCAAACTAGAACTATGGATAGTTCAGTTCGAATAAGCTATAAGAATAAAGCTAGAACTGTGAATAGTTAAACTCGAACAGACTATAGGGAATCAAACTAGAACTATGGATAGTTCAGTTCGAATAAGCTATAAGAATAAAGCTAGAACTGTGAATAGTTAAACTCGAACAGACTATAGGGAATCAAACTAGAACTATGGATAGTTCAGTTCGAATAAGCTATAAGAATAAAGCTAGAACTGTGAATAGTTAAACTCGAACAGACTATAGGGAATCAAACTAGAACTATGGATAGTTCAGTTCGAATAAGCTATAAGAATAAAGCTAGAACTGTGAATAGTTAAACTCGAACAGACTATAGGGAATCAAACTAGAACTATGGATAGTTCAGTTCGAATAAGCTATAAGAATAAAGCTAGAACTGTGAATAGTTAAACTCGAACAGACTATAGGGAATTAAACTAGAACTATGGATAGTTCAGTTGGAATATGCTATAAGAATAAAGCTAGAATTGTGAACAGTTAAACTCAAACAGACGATCGGGAATTAAACTAGAACTATGGATAGTTCAGTTGGAATAAGCTGTAAGAATAAAGCTAGAACTGTGAATAGTCAAACTCGAACAGACTATATGGAATTAAACTAGAACTAGGAATAGTTTAAGTTGAACAAGCTTTAGGGAATTAAAATAGAAGTAGGAACACTGAATTAAATTAAACTAGGAATTGTTTAAGTCAAATTAGGAAATTGAAGTAGAATTGGGAGTAAAATTAAACTTGAGTAAGTTGTAGTAATTGGGAATGGAATAGTTCAACTTACTAGAAGACATTTTCCACCTGACATGAGGTAAGGGGACACCGTCTGCTTGACATTCTATTTTGACTGGATGACCGATCACTGCTGCAACATCCGTTGGCTTGATTACCCACCTAGGAGGAACTAAAAGTAATCTCTTTTACAAAATATAATACTGACGTTTAACGCGCATAGCATGGTTTCAGAAAAATAGGCAGGCCATAATACAATTAGACAATCAAAACAATATTGGTTCCTAGAGATTTACGAAATAATGAGCATATTTTGGCTGCAGTGACATTACTGAAGCTAGATAGACTTTGTCTGCAATCTTGTTTAATTTTCCTTTATTTTTCTGGTTCAAATTTTTTAATTTTTTTTTTTAATTTTTCATTTTTAGCATTTTGTTGTAGAGTTACTTTTCTAAATTTCTTTCTCTAAAATTTCCATTCGTGTTCTAAAATTGTTTTTTTTTTATTGTGAAACATAATGTTTTAATATTGGTCACAACTTATTTTATTTTCTAAACTAAGTTACTCTTTATTTTGAAATATTATTGTATGAACCATGCAAGTCATAAGGTATTTTTTAATTTAAAGTTATTTTAAATTATTCAGTGTATTTAAAGATATTATTCTAGAAATTCCTTAGGTCTAGTTATATCGAAGATCATAGTCATTTCTTTCAGTTCGATATAAAACGTGCTTCAAAAATTATTAAAAAATAATCGTATTCCATTTAGAAACAAAAAAAATTAACCTCCGATTCACGTAGAATTACAGATTTACGAATTTTTTTTTTTTTATACATTAACAAAATGATTCGTTTATTCATTGATTCATCGATTAACTGATTCACCCATTCAGTAACTTGCCAATACACTGATACTGGTGAGCGATTCATAAAAATAAATCAAATTACTGAAGATGGAATTCATTACATCTTACCCTGGAATGAAAAAGGAAAAAAAAGCAAAAGAAAAAAATTTTAACATGCATAAAGTGTTTATTATTTTTTTTTTATTTTTTGAAAAACAGGAGAGAAAAAACATGGACAAGAATCCTGACTTAGAGGTTCCTAACACTTATTATTCAGAACTTTGCCGTTCAAAAACAGTTCCCTCTATTCTAATATTATATCAGATTTATTATCAGAAATAATGTTCCCCCTATTTTAACTATATGAGAAGAGTGAGACGTTATATCATTTTTAAACACAAATCATTTTGTGTTAAATAAAATGATTTGAAAACAAGCTTTTAATTATTAACCCAAAATGTTTTCCACAGCTGCGTTGACTGTGTTTTTTGCTGTAACTCTTTTATCAAACAGGAACTTTATATAAAATAACGTTAAGGAATCGAGAAGGATTCAGCCAATTTCAATTAGAATGTTCCTTGAATTCTTAAAAAGCATAAATTGATTATTATATTGTTATTTAAGAATCTATTCTTTTCTGCTTTGGTTTGTTCAAACATAATCATTTTAATTATTGATATAAGTCATATTACATAAAAAATTATGACGTAAAGGGTCAATTATGAACTATACTGTTCGAAAAGTCGGTAGTCAAATGATAGTTTACATATCAAAAGTTGAAATAATTTGGATTGAACTCCAAGTAACCCCATGTCACAGGTCTCATCCTTTGCCTGTTTTTTTCCTTAAATTAAAGAAAATAATTTCGAAACTTTATCAAAACTATGGTTCATATGTGTAATAACGTCGTGACGTAATAGTACATTTTCAAATGGTGATACGTTTCCAAGAAGTTACATAGCTAGTTTATTTACCTTTACGCACAACAAACTCCCGAAACTTATACTACTTTAAATTTACTTAGATTGTTTTAAACTTAAGTGAGAAAATAAATTATCAACAACAAATGCTCTGGAAAATTACCGATTTTCAAGCTAAAGTACCCTAGATTAGTTTATATGCCCTCTTCCATTAGAAATTAACAATTATTCATTTCACATCTACATGTCTTTATCGTAAATTTTTATGCAAGCTTGAAAATAGTATTGAATAAATCAGTTCTTTTCGAATATATTTTAAATGAAAACATGTTTACCTTATCTGAACAATATTAATTTAAAGTCAAATTCTATTTTTTTTTCTTCATTTTTCTATTTAATCAAAATAAAAGAATGCAACTTTATGTTTCATAACCGAAACAAAATTTAATTTCGTTTTGTAAGTAAAATGCGTTCTATTTGATGTTTTTCATTTCCAATACAAATCAGTTTCAAAATATTCACCATAATGAAAAATAATATTATGGGGTAGTATCAATTCATAATTTCGGTTTTATTTTTGTCTAAATATGCTTTTCTATATTTCCAATCTTTTCAACCAGCCATTCATAAAATGGAATCAAATACCATATGCAAGGAGAAAAACCAAATTGAAATATTTATATGCATAAATATTTGTATGGGGTAAAAAGCAATCAAATATTTCATAGATCTGATTGAAATTCCTTGCCATTTTTCTAATGCACAATATGCGAAAAAAATTCAATTTAAAATAATACAGCTCTAATCAATTCTAATCATATGACGTTTATAATATGTTTCCATTAAAATATGTACATATTTGCCAAATAGAAGCGAATTTTATGTATTCCAAATCCAAAACTATAACTTTCAGGTCAATGGATATTAAACATTATTGGATTGCTACCCACATGTAAGAGATTAGGTTTTAGTAACTTTAAAATAATTAAATTACGTATAAAACCAAAAAAAAAAAAAAAAAAGATTCTAGGAAATCATAAGTATAAATTTTCTTTTTGCTAAAATAAATGTTTAATAACAATTTATACATTGTAAAATATATTTATTTTCTTTTTGTGCCAAATTTTGACATAGAGTAAAAAGTTTATTCACTGTAAAAACTGTAGAATAATATCTCTCCAAACATCCTGTTGAACTACGACATAAAATTTCGCAAAAGAACACTCACTATTTTTTAAATTAACACCTTATCGAACGTTCACATACAATTTAAAAGGTGTATGAAATCTCAAAACACCGAAAATGTAAAAAGTCTGCACCGAAATCATGCTCATTTACACCATCCATTAAATATTTTCGCTATCGAAAACTTCTGTCTTGGCACGTTTCGATTCTGTCTGTAATTTTGCTTACAATCAATAACGAGTAGGCGAATGTTTTTGGCTGTCTTCAATTTGCTTTCATCAGTATCTCATCATTTTTCAGTTCTGTAATAAGGATAGTTATATTTTAATTTTAAAGTGTCTGTAAACTATACTAACTAATTTAATACTGCTTAATTTCTATCCGCTTCTGCTCTGTTCAGCCTAGTTCGAATTCGTTTTAATATTCTCTCTGCTATGAGTATGTTTTATTTACGAATTCATTCTACTTTAAGAATAAGAGCATATATGCAACCAACATTTCTGATTCATACTTTACATTGTCAAGTAAAAATATCTTTACTGAATCCTATGTGTATCATATCTTACTGCAATTATAAATTTTTTGTTACTAAGTAGCAAACATGGCAGTTGTGGCGACTACTTTACACTAAGTAGTGGAAAGAACATTCTCGAACAGCACTTTTCATTTTTTTTCGGCTGTGAAATCCTCAATGATTTACCTACTTTCGGCGAAGCCCCGAGGCCTAGCCAAAAGCCCCGAGACTTAATGAATAAATTTATTTAGAAATTGTGAATATATAAGAAAAAAATATTGTAATTATTTTAAAAATAGTTGAAGATTTAAATTTTAAATTTTTATTAATTATTTTAAAAATACGTAATGATCTCAATTTCAAATTTTTTTTTAATCTTTTAAAAATATGAATAATTTGAATCTTAAAATGTTATTAATTATTTTGAAAATATTAAGTGAATGAATATCGAATTAAATTTTTTTATCATATCGTTTTATCAATAGTAATAATAAAATTGAGTTTCACGTAAGATAGTTGAATTGAAAGTTCTGGAGCAGCATCTAGTCTACTGCTTAATTTGATTTTAATGCATGCATAAACTGAAATTTGATTTTAACGCATGCATATGCCGAAATGAATGAAATGAAATATGGTTTCCTTTAAAATAAAAACAGAAAAGGAAAGGGAAAAAAATCGATGAAAATAGTTATCAAAGAAACAGATTTGTTTAGGGAATTTTATTAATTTTATTCGATAGAAGATACTTATGGAATTTCTCATAAATGCATATCCTTTTCGTAATTCATTCATTATATCGTTATTAGAAAAATATTGTTTTGAAATTTCTTTTTTTCACAAGAATTTCAGTTAAATAATTTCTAAAAAATTGCGGAAATGTTAAATAAATATTAAATAAATTGAAATAATTTTTTTTCGAAAATCATAACTGGTTAAAAACAAATTATTTTCCCCGGGACTCAAGGGTTCCGTGGAATACAATTTGCGAACTGCTGCTCTAGATTTTCACAAGACCAGGAACATCCTTAATTTGCAGTAGTGCAAAACCACTTTGGAGTAAAGTAGATGCAACCATGTTCAGATTCTCAAAAATGTTACTCAGTGTTGAAGAATTTCTTAAATGAATGTTTGTTTTTGTTTCCTCTTTCTATTTTTCTGCAATTTTATTCGGAAATGAATTTTATTTCTTCAATTCGGAAATGAAGTTGACAGGAAAAAGCGTTACAGCAATTTCTCGTAAAACTTATTTCAGGTGTGATTTTTCTAGTAAGCTGAAAAGTAATCCGTAACACTAATGAGTCATTTCTAACAAATTTATTAAAAAAAAATCTGATTTGCTAACTTATTTATTTTTCCACCTCGTATTAGACATACACCGTCTTATAGAAACAAAGAAAATAATCTTCTACATCTAGAGTTTTCCAGGACTTTCAAAATTTTCCAATGAAATGGAATTCCCTTTTATATATCGCTCATCTTAGACATAATTTAGTGTGCTTTCAGAGAACAGGAAACTTACCTCTGAATTAATGCATAGTTCCTTACTCGATATAAAATAATTCAAAATATAAAATTGTGGGATTTAAATTGTCTTTTTCTTTTTTAGTTCGCTTAAAACACAAATGTAACTGATTCTATCACGTTGCCATAAAATTTATTTAATAAATTATATAAATAAAAATTTACACAAACCTTTTACGGTGAGTATGGCGCTGTGAGAGGTGGTTGAAACATCGTTACGAGCTACGCAAGTGTAATTTCCGTTGTGCCTATAGCTCAAATTCTTGAGTGTCAAAGTGGATACAAAATTTTCATCCGCATACACTAGTATTGCATCAAGGTCTCTTGCATCGAGGGGAGAGCTGTCCTTAAACCACGTAGTCGAAAGTGGGCCATCTCCAGCAATAATGATGCATGTTACTGCAGTCCTCATTCCTTCATGTAGATTATGCGGAAAAGAAAAATTTGATATCCTTGGTCCAGCTGTAGAGAAGGAAAAAAATTCTTTGTTATTCAAAAGTAAGGCGCAGCATGAATTGTTCTCGAAACCCAATGTTTTCTAATTATATATGAAGGGCTTTTATGTTTTGTGCTGCCATCTAGGTGAAATTTTGGAAACTTGTATTATACTTTCCTGGAAACCAGAACTTAGTTCACTCAGTTTAAAACTCTGTTTCTGTGAGAACGAACTTATATATTTTTCACGAATTAAGTAAACACAGATTATTTACTCCTCTCAAAATTTAGCAAATAAAAAAGGAATTTCCATGGAAAAACTGTAATAAAATGGGCTAATATTCATTTCGAAACATATGACGGACGCTACACTTCACAAGACAGTCATAATCAATTGAGAAGAAAAGCAATTCTCAGTCCAATCATCAAATTAAAAGTGTACGGCAACGTGCTTATTCACCAAAATATTTTGTGAGAATTAAGTAGAACGTATCATTTAAGTTATTGACCAGGTATATAATTAAAAGATTTAAATATACTACAGTCATTTCTTTTTTATCCAATTGCACTTGAATATTTGGACTTTTATTGCTATGTCCTTCCTCTTATTCTGTAAGGAGCTTCTTGTTTTATTCCCTAACTTATATTAGATTCTGAAAATACTTTCTTGGATACCGCCGTAGAATTCGATCCATATAGCATTGTAAAGTTGATTTTAGTGTAGCATAAACCTTTATCATAAAAATCCGACAAGATTTATAAATTAGCAAAACCATGCAAGCTTGAAAGAATGTTAAATTTAATTATTCTAGTTTACGTGTAATGAAGTTCACCTTTAGCTTGCATAAACAGCCTTTATATATCTAGATTTAAACTAAAAACATTACATATAACCACTAAAAAATGTACCGTTTGAGAACTTCAACATACAGAAGGAAAAGAAATTCGCCTTTGCAATAAAAGCCAAAACATTATATATTTTGTAAAAGTTTATATGTGCCTTTATCCAATATTTAAAATTAAAATATTAGCAACATTTCTGTCTCATAAGTAAAATTTTTAACCAGTCAAACTTATTTTGTCAATTATAAGAAACCACAAATCCAAACGTTTGTTGTAATGTTGCTTGTTATCTGAAAAAGGCATCACATTTAAAAAAAAAAGTGCTCTTTGACCCTTTGGCTACTAACGGGACTCATTTGTCCCAACAATGTTTAAAAATTACTAATGGACATATGTATCCCACCATTAAGTACGCTCGGGACATATATATGTCCCAGCCTCTAAATTGATAACCGCTTGTCAGAAAAATACCAAATACTATTTTGGATTACCTATTTTGTCCACTAAATACCTATTTTGTCCTTTTGAATAATAAACGGGACAAAAAAGATCATTTTTTTAAAATTCGTAGTCAAAGGATTAATGTATTAACTAATTTTACAACAAAATAGCTTAAATTAAACTACTACTTTTTATTCAATTTCTCCTGATAATATTTTTAATAGCTAAAATAGAAGTTTGCTTTTATCTTTCATTCGAAACAGAGAGTCGACAGAGCTTAAGATAACATTAAGTTCCAAAGCTGCGTACCCAGAAATCAGGAAAACTAGAGAAGATCTGATTATATTATAGTGGATCAGGATTTACAATTGCGGCTTAAAACAGTTAAATTGTACGTAATTAACAGTGTGCTTGAAACTTCTCCCTTCCTGACTTGGGAATGCATTGCAACGGGGAAACATTTAGAGAAATAGTTAGAAACAGAGTAAATTACTGGGTTTTATTAGCTTCCTAATGGTACTTTCTCTATCTTAACAAGAACATAGCTACCCTCCACTAAGTAAAGCTTGTTAAATACCCTGTAATTGTTATGGCAGGGGAAGATAAATATCTTATGGTTGCGATTATGTTAAATTGTATCCGGCCATTTAGACTTAACATTGTGTGCAAACTACAAGACATTTTTAAGCATTTTAGGTTAAGTAATCTAACTTGTGCTTTTAATCTAATTTAAATTTAATGCCGCTAATATTAAAAAACAGAGGGAATGATTGCTTGAAATTTTCGGAATTTTAATAAGAATTAACTTTACTGAAAATATATTCTAACGTTAGGAGCTATGAAAATGTGTTATTTTTTATTCGTTTATGCAATCAAAACAGATTTTGAAATAATATTATTACTTAGTTATAAATTTATTTCTAATTATTTATAATGTTTTTGAATTTTAAACGGCGATTCTTAATTCATACTAAATCTTCTTTTAATATGCGCTTAATTTATAATAAAATAAATGCAACTATTGATTTTGAGTTGAATGAATATATAGTACAACGAGAAAAAATAAAATTATTGTACTGCATAATAATGACATTTCTGATAAAAAAAATAATTTTGGTTAATTTAAACTATTCGATTTTCAAAATCCTAGTATTTTATGATATTTCATAAGTAAGTCTTTATAAATTATATTAGATGCTACTACTGTGCTCTTATAAATGAAGAAAAAACTATTAATTTTAAAAATGGTTTCATGTGATTAAATCTTAAATGTATTGATTTTATCATCCGTTAAAAATATTATCAACTATTAACTTAAACTTAAACGCTTTCTTTAATTAAATAGAACTTGATTATTATTGAAAATTAATAAACTATAATTAAATTAATAAATTATAATTAAATTAATAAACTATAATAATGGTATTTCTGATTAAAAAATATTTTTGGTTAATTGAAACTACTTGTTTGATGATTTTTCCGTTTAATGGCAACGGTTTACCGGAAGTTCTGGTTTCAAAATCACATTTCTTATTACCACACATTTCGTAAAAAATACAAAACTGAAAAGTAAATTATCCAAATAAATGGTTTTTATGCCCTTCTCTAAGGTATCATGATAAAATAACTAGATTTTACCATATTTTCCAGATTTTTATCACTTATTATAATGCCGAATTTTATTGTTAATTTTACCAAAATAATTACTAAAGCCCTTCCGTAAAAATTACCAAGCTTTCTGATGTCGACTATGCTTTGTTTTCTCAGTGTATGCTCGATTTATATAACTGATATTTTCTATTCATTGATAATTCTCATTATTTTGTTAATAATGAGTGCTTGAATATGAAAAACAAATATTGTTGAGAAGTTCCTTATTTGTGCTGATTATATTTAGCTTATCATTAACCCCACAATAAGAAGCACATACTGCAAAGATAGTTGAAAGAAAGAACATGCATACATCGGATGGAATTCGAACCCGATACCCTTTTGATATAAGCTCAGCTCCTTGACCACCATTCACCGGGTCGGCAAATTCCTTTCAGCAACAAACCCTTATGGGAAAAGGGGTTATGAAGGCTACGGCGCTATAGCTTCGTATTCAACGTGGTCAACATTGCGCATAAGAAACTTTTATTTCACAGATAAGTATCTTTCTTATAGATTCATATTAAGATATTGGATATATCAGCTTGAACTAGCGAACTGAAGTTGGGTGATCTTAAAATCTTCCCTGGGGATCAAAACAGAGATCTACACGATTACAGACCATTATTTTAACCATTCAGCCATCGCGACTCAACTTCCGAGTACAGTAATTGTAAAAATAAATTATTAATGAACTTACTTCTAATAGAAATTCGGAAGGTTCTAGAAACTGGTGCACCTTGAGGACTCCGTATCTCACAACTGTACAAACCACCATCTTCATCTGGCTTGATGTCAGTTATTAATACGGTGCCATTCTGAAACACATGTTGCCTTTGGTGGGTTGGCAGTACTTCTCCATCTAAAATATCATAAAGAAACATCATAACTGCGTACTTAAAATACAAAAAAGTAAAATTTTAAAAGTGTAACTTTTTCTCTTTCTTCCTTCTATTTTAAGTTCATTCTGATAAGCCAGAAAAAGGGAGCTTCTTAATTATCACCTTTAACCCCTTCGCTCTGGGGCTCGTCAAATTCGCGGAGTAAGCTTTCGTCTCCTACTTCTCGTACTAGTGATATTTCCGGGCATATAGTTGCATCTCTTGTGTCCGGAATGTTTTTATCTCTTATTTTACACACTAGATGGTTGCGCCAGACTATTTTTACGTTACTGAAGATTATTAGTTTATTTTAAACAAGACGCCAGCGCAATATCCAATTGCATGTATTTGTGGTATGTATTTCGTACTCTTATCTTAGCTACGTATACGTTATGTGAATACTCGTGGTTTGTGTTCCGAGTTAAACTATTTATTTTCAATATAATGTATTTTGTTATTGTGTATAGAGTTAAAGTTGCATGGTATATATGGAATTTTAAATTTCAAACTAAAAAAAAAAATAAAAAATGAATTCATATATTGCGCATTGACCATTTTTATATAATTTTCTTGAATAAAGAAAAGGCACTTTTATGATCTTTTTCCTTAAAATAATAAGATATTTAAGGGGTTGCTTTTAGTTATTGGAATCCTAGTTAAAAATTTAGCAAAGAAGGTATACACATTAGTAGGCAAAAGCAAATATTTAGGTGCGGAAAAAAATCTTGCCGGGTTAAAAATCTAACAAAAATAGCACTAGACCATATATGGCAGTACTTTTACTTTCGTTACTTGTACCGTCGGTACAAGTAAAAAGTACGTACTTTTACTTGTACTTGGTTACTTTTTAAATTTAGTACTATATATGCATTCACAGCTAACTTCGTGTTTGAATACCTTGACCTCCCGTGGAGCGCTTATTCAGCGTGGATAAGCACGTTCTGAGAAATTCTCGCAACAGACTCAGTGACACCACTTTCGAAATGCAATTATTTTGCAAAATGAATAAAAATATTAATTAGCTTGTTATTTTCATTCATTTTCAAGTTTTATGCATTTATTTAATACATTGTAAATAAAAAATGTTGGATTTTGTAATTAAGTTTTTTAATTTTCTTTTTGAACTCCCTAATAATACATTAATGACTTAACACATTTTTTACTAAATACATTTTTACCTAGTACATTTTTTACTAAAATTATGTTTATGCCCGACCTTATCAAACAACGCCCAGTCAAATCTCTAAGAACTTCAGAACTATTTGTGTTATAGAAAGCTATTATAATTACTATTTTAACTCTTGAAAACTCGAAGGTATTAATTTAGCCGCTGATACTAAAATTCGTTTACAAATTTTAATTATTCCGTTAGGCAGAAATGTTCGGAAAATGATTTTCTCGCATGACTTCAGCATTAGCCATTGTTACAAATAAAACTGTAGACTGTTCTGTTTCAACTTATACTGCACATTCAATTATTTTTTACTAGCTCAAAGATCACAAAGCTATCTGAAACCCCGTGTTTGCTTTGTTTATGTTTGTGCTTTTAAAACGCGTTTCTATAGAGTAAAACAATTTTAAATCAATGGTAATTTAAATAAATAAAAATGATAAACTAAAAATTAAAATCAATAGATAAAATTTCTTCTTCATGCAAATCCATTAAAAGTTTGATATTGAAATTATATTTGATTTTAAAATTATATTATACGATTATATTATAAAATTATATTATAATATTCCGCATTTAAAAATAAATTAGTGTTCATAACTTTCAAAATTAAAAATAATTAAATAAATAACAACAATTTTACAAAAACATTAAAAAACATAAGAATATTATTCACTAAAATTTTAGGTTACTTTGAATTTTCGGTTTCCTAGAAATGTACTTTTAAATCGTTACTTTTTTCGTTCAGTACTTGCACTTTTACTTGTACTTTTTACTCGTTACTTTTTAAAATAAGAACTTTTTACTTTTTACTCGTTCCTTTTTTTAAAAATACTTGTACTTCTACTCGCTACATTTTAAAAGTAACGTTGCCATATATGCACTAGACACACCCTTTCTCGCTTGATAAACTTAAATATATGCAATTTTGAAAAAAATAAATAAAATGAAACATTTCAGACGACAGTTGCTTGAATAGAATAGTATTCCATGCATTTAAATATAATATTTTGAAGTTTATACTGCACAAATATTATATTTTAATAAAAATGAATATCCAATATCAGTTTGGAATCTTATGCATAGAGAAGTATTTATTTTTTTACGAATGAATTGAAGTTTTACTTGAAAACTGAAAAAAGGAACTCATTTAAGTGAGGTCCATTATTCCTGTCATTGTGTTTAGACATTTTGCAAACACGTAAAACTTTTCAAAACACGAAGATTTTTTTTTTATTTAGTACAAAAGATTAGTAAGAATCCTTTAATTTGGAGGGAGAATATTTTTGAATGCATTCATAAGATGTTTATTGGTTCTAATAAAATGAACTAATTCGCAAGATGCCAGATCTCTGTATTCGTAATGTAATTCCTATCTCCCCAATTTTAAAGTAAAATCAATTATAGTTGCTTGACAACTTAAATAGTATAGCATATTTTTTCATGAAATTTGTTTAAATAAATTAAAAATGTCAGTACATTAATGCTAAACTTTCTTAGAATTGATTAATAAATATTTTATTAAAATACTTTTTTTACCATATGAAAATGTTATACTGAGAAACGAAATTGTAAAGTAAACATTTTTATTTATTCGAAGTTTTTGAGATTTCTCTTGCAGGACTTTTCATGGGTTTAAGTGTCAAGGAGTGAGTAAGCGAGATACATTTTATTTTATATAGACAAACAAACTTTTATCCTCAAATCGATTTATATAATTATACGGGAATTCCTGTTATGGCAGTCCATATTACAGGTTTTTTAAGTCGTTGCGGAAAAGGAAGTTAAAAAAGTTCACTACTGGCCATTAAAATTGCTACACCAGGAAGGCGACGCACAACGAACATGAAATTTGCAGGGAGGATAAAACATGTTGTGGCATGCAAATAATTAGCTTTTCAAAGCATTCATGCAAAGCAGGCAGCGCTAGAGACACCTACAATGCGTAGAAAAGAAGTGATTTGACAGTAAGTTTCTCATACAGAAATTTAATTTGAGCATTGTTCTTGGATAAAAAAGTTTTTGTTATGCCTCATGTAAGAAAGAGAAATGCCTACCAGCTCGTGTCTGAGTTCGAGCGAGATCGAACTGAGGCCTACCGGGATTACGGTTTATCGTACCGAAGTTAAGAAGAAGTGACAACACTAATAAAATTGATAACATTTAGATTATAATATGTGTTACTCGTGTACCTTTATCAAAATTACAAATCTATAATTATTTTCCGAAAAAATCCACGTTTTTTCTTCTGTGACAACTCCCAATAAAAACTTACCCACGCAATTAGAACACTGTCATTGTCAGTGTCACTAATTTGTCAATTTTCACAACTTCATTGACATTTTTGGCAGCAAACGCTTATACCTTCCCGACAATTTGAGGCTCTAGGTAAATTAGGAAGCGAGATTCATCAAAAATTTACCCGAATTTATTAAAAAAAAATGTCCTAAAAAATGGTACCTGATGGATGATTTTGATTTTGATATATGAATTAATCAACTTTTTTCTAGAAAATCACAGTCATCTAATGACAGAAAAATGTGCAAATGAGTTTTGTAATGTAATTAGTTATGTATTATATAAGAAATTTGTTATCTTCTTTCTTGGTCTATATTGAAATACACCCTTTCAAATTATGTAAGTATGTTACATTTAAATATTTAAAATTAGTTTTAGAGATAAAAGTTATTTTTGCAAATTTAAATTTCCTTTTAAATTTTTGATGAAATTAAATTAAATTTGCTTGTTTTGAAAATTAAAGACGGCAAATTAGTGACTTCAAACTCTCAAGGATGTCAAGTCATTCAAATAAATCAAATCAAGTTTTCATAACAGTTTTTCATAAAAAAAATTGAAGATGACAGGCTAGTGGACAGATTATGAGTCCTTAAATCAAGTTCAAGTTTTATTTCAAAGTATTTCAGAAGAAAAAAACTATCGTTACACCAATTATTTACATAAAAAGTTCTTTAATCGTTACTTAAAAAATTTATAATGATTAAAGCTCCATTTTTGTTTCATTTCATTTTATTTCAAGTTTTTTTTAAATTGTATACGTAGACAAATTTATTATATGTTATCCATTTACACCATTACATAATTTTTCACAATTTTCTACAATTTCCTTTCTTTTCAGCAAATGTACAATTTACCCCACAATTTCAAACAGCACTTTTACCAAACACAAAATAAAACTATTGCATGTTTCTATAAGGTACGATTTTAAAACCAATATGGATATGATAATTTTTTTTATCAAAAATTCTTTTAAAAAGTTCAGAACTCCCATGTATGTTCAGGTAACAAAAATATTGAAATAGAAAAAGTTGAAAATTACTTTAGTTCCCAAGGTATTTATTATGCAAGCAGAAGCAGCATGTGTGAAATGAATTCTCACTACTTATGATAAAGTCAAATCTATAATATGCTAGATAAATAATGCATGAGACAGTCAGAAATGGTGATGAGGAAGAAAAAAAAGATAAAAGGTTTTTATAAAATTTTACTTACAAAGCAATATCGCTCTTTTTTTTAAAAAAATATATCTATACGTTTACTCTCAAGTAAAATTGTTTTTGCCTTTTTTATGAACACCCGTAATTATTATCTAAAATAATTAAGAAAGGGAAACTTGAAAATTCGCGGTGCATTGGAGGAATTAAAAAAGCAATCTATAATTGCTTTTAAAAAAATATTTTTATTTTCATTTCATAACTAACTTGCATTTTTAATCAAAACGGAGTGAATTAATTCAATTTATTATTAAAAATTAAAATCCTTTTATATTTGAACTTTTGTATAACATTTATAACATTTAAATAAGAATTACTTACGTTAAAAATGTGCCAGTTTTTGAATCAAACAGATAGGGCAGAACATTAAATGAATTTTTCATACAACTATTTTCTTCTTATATAATGTAATCAAAATTGTTATTTGTAGCTAAATATATTTTATTATTTTTCTTTTTAACCCTTAATATTAAAGGAATTTTTCACATGAAATTTTTTTATTTTATTTTCATAATGTAATTGTATTTGTTATTTAAATCCAAGGATTCCTTATTATTTGGCTTGCAACTTTTATACTTAGGTTGAGATAGACTGGTTGGTCGGGTGTTGAACCCATGTCCTAGAAGTTATGGGTACGATTTCCACTAACCGAGGACAATGGTGATTGGTACCCGTCAAATCTGTCGGGGTCACAAAGTTCTCCAAATTTCCGTCCAAAAAATCAATACCTCTGAGGGTATCGGATCAGTGATTGAAGAGCTTTAGTTCAGATCACAATTATTATCTGTGAATGCATGGATGGTGCGCGAATGTATCCTCCCAGTAAAACCAGCTGTGATGTACGTGTGTGGCAAATTCTTGTCCATAGATGGCGTCACTGCTAAACAAGAAGAAACTTACCCTTCTTCTTTAAAGTGGACATGTCAGTATTGACAAGAGACGCAAGACAACAATAACCCCAACACTTAAGTGCCCAAGATACATTAGAACCAAGTAACTCAGGGGTTAAAAAATATCTTAGTTCACAGCTTATGGTAAAATAGTTTACCAATAATAATTTACTATAGTCCTTACTCATTTCAAAGTTAAAGAATGTTTTTTTATTTTTTATTTTAATGTCCTGTTAATTTGCGATCGATGATATGATCACAGTTTTTGTAAATAGGAATGGGATTTGTGGAAGAACATCATATGTTAACCCATCTTTATTGTTTTTACTTTTTTTAACCACTAGTTTATTTTACATTTACCAAATACGACCTTCATATTCAGGAAGTAAACAACTGCTTTAGCAATGACGCAGCACTCTAACAAAAAGAGTTTGCAATGGTTATATATATATATATATATACAGAGAGAGAGTTTACTTCATATATAAGCATTTTGTATAATAATTTAATATCTAGCATAAAACATTTATGTGCTTAAAATCCTCTTAAATTTCATAGTTTTTGGCCCATAAATTTAATAATATTTATTTTTATTTAAGTGTAGATAAAATGTGTAAAATGCACCTTACCTCTTTTCCATGCAATTTCATCATATGGGTAACCACCGAAAGGACATGACATTCTAAATGAGCCTCCAGCTAAGGCAGTTAAATTACTCAGCGGTCTGATGAAAACAGAACCAAACACATTCAGTCTTCTGGAGTGAGATGTACTTCCAGCTTCATTAAAAACTGTACACGTGTACACTCCACTGTCTGTCACATCAGCTGACGTTATATTGACGTAGCTAATAACGTCGCCACCTGTACTCAAATACGTGCTCACCACGATACCTGGTCTTGAGGACAGTGTCCATAGTCCATCCAATGTCCATTTCACTTGTGGAGTGGGATTTCCGTTTGATATGCAAAGGAGAGAAACGAAACTTCCAGGGCGTACTGTTTTCTCTGGAAACGTTAGCTTGAATTGCGGTGCGAGGTCTGAAATAAAGAAAAACAGTCAGTGTAAATATTTACCTAAACCAGTTAATGTTCAGAGCATCTGACTCGCATATATTCATTCTTAATTTTTTTTAAAATTTTTAATTGTGAAAAATAAAGAAGTAAAAAAAAGAACTCCTTAAATTTCAAAAATCATACATTATAATGTAGTTAGAATTTAAATTTAACCAAGCTTTTTTGAAAATCCTTGAAACGATAACTACATTGTGAAAAAAGTAGGGTCAAATGTATGAAAATATGGTGAAATTTGTTTTATTTCTTGCTCTATGGGGACTCTAAAAACCTCTGTAATTTTTACCATAGCGCTTTGGAAATGGTTCAGGTGAAATTAACAATAAAATATGGCTTTATTATAAGTGATGGAATTTGGTAAATGTAGTAAAATATGATAATTTTATCATGATACCTTGCAGCATGCCGAAGAAATCATTTATTCTATTTTATTTATATTTCAGTTTTATATTTTCTTACAAAATATGTGATATTATCAATTATAATTTTGAAAATCAGGATTTTCCGGTATACTTCTAACATAAGTTATCAAATCAATAGTTTAAATACGGTATATTTTGGTTTTTATTACCAGAATTATGTTTTTTTTTTACCAGAAATGTCATTACCATACAGTATGGTAATTTTACCGGAATTTTTCTCTCCTTGCAAGAATGTCCTTATTGAACCGATTGCTTAATATTCAACAGCTTCTTGTTTTAAACTGTTAAATTTCTTTTTGTAAACATCAGGATTATTTATAGCCCATATTTTTCAAAAGAAGTTCAGCTGATTTATTGGCAGAAGATGGTTTCCTAGTCTTCTTTAGAAGAAAAGTCTTATAAATTTTTACGGCTTATTTTGCTTGAAAGTGAAAACTAGTCTTAATGGTGTTGATCCAACCACACTGAAAATATTCGAAAGGTTTCCTAAAGGTATTTGGCTCAATTTTGTAAACACACCTGAAAAAACTCACAGGTATTTGGCCCTTCAAAAAATTGGTTTTTAATAAAATATAAAAATAATTAAAAATCTGAAAGCGTTTTAGTTGTTTTCTGAGTGTCATTTAACTACAGTTTTCATTTAATCGAAATATTTTCTAGAAAATCTTCAGAGTTTTGTTCACTGTGTAGAATTTCTGATTAAATAAAGGTAGGTTTGTGGTACCAACACTTTGAGTGCACCATCTGTTAAATGTTTCTTACCGCAAAATATTATATCATAATTTTTACTGCATTATTTATTTAATTGGAGTGATTCAGTTGTTTTACGGAAATTATTAAATTTTAAAAAAAGTTTTTTTTTTGTTCTGTAGCATGTCCTACTTACAATGGATTTTAGATTTTACGGTATTAAATATCAGCACCTTGAATGCCAGTATTTTGAACCGTAATTTGATCTGGAAATTTTTGCTGTGTATTGGAACTCTTTTGCTAAATGTACCAAACTTTACCACTTCTACCAAATTTTATAACACATTATAGGACCGTATTTTATCGTTAATTTCACCTAAATCAATACCAATGTTCTTCCGTAAAAATTACTTAAAATTTTAGTGTTCCTAGAAAGCCCAAAACTTTGCTCTTTTGCTTTGTGTATTGGAAAGCTAAAAAATGTAGCACAATTAGCTTTAAAAGGTTTTTTTAGTTGGTTTATATGACCTAAAAATAGATCACTCTTATGTTAGCCAGTTGACTTGACCAACGCTTGATGGTAGATATGAAGTCAGAATTGCAAGCTTTTTATAGCGAATAAAAGAAATGAAAAAAATCTGCAAAATATATTAATTCTTTGAAATAAGCATTAAAAAAACAAGGAGGTGAAAAGGAATGGGCGTTAAAAACTTTTATACCATTTGCAGTTTCTTTTAGCATCGTATTCTGGCGCAACTGCTGATTAAAGTGCAGAGAAATTCCAAGTTAAAAAATTTAATTTCTTCCCTTTCTAAATGAAAGGAAATTATTATCTAAAGTATAAAAAATAAAAAGACGCCCAGTGGCTGAACGTGCCACAGGTCCCTGGTTCAATCCTCAGGCCGGGCAAGGTTGACTCAGCCTTTCATCCCTTCAGTGGGTCGATGAATGAGTACCAAGCATGCTTGGGAACTTAACACTGGGGTTCCGCGTTCGGCTGACCACCTGACCGGAACATCTGCTCCTGCACCCCAAACCCCAAGGTCAAGAAAACTGAGATGGGCACAGTAGGCCTTGGCCCTCTAGGGCAGTCGCGCCACTGAGTTTAGTTTTAGTTTACAAAAAATAAAAAGGCAAATGAAGATGTTTTTTTAAGTTATCCTGGATAATTTCATATATTCGGGGTGTATTCACAGCTTTTTCCGTGTATATTGGGTAACAGAAATCCGATCGAAAAAATTTATATTTTTAGAAGTTATCTACACCTCATTTCCCCATTTATCTACAAAGTACAAACACACTGCTTACCTTGCTGGTTTTCTGGCGAAGTACAAACCACGAAAATTTTTATAAATTTGAAAATAATTGTATAGAAAGAACAGACATTCCATGGAATGATTGTAACTCTTTAGACAAAGTATTATATATGAGAATCATTGTGTATATGTGCCTATTTATTTTTCATTATAGTGAATGCTTAGAGAATACGGGAATCAATACTCGTTTCATGTCGAGCCGGTTTATTATTGGCTATTTTATACAGCACGAAAAAAAAGTATGGTGAAAGCTACCAGGATATGGTAACATTTACCGTGTTTCGGGCTTTCTAGAAACACTAAAAATTTCAGTAATTTTTACGGAAGAATATTGGTAGTGATTTAGGTGAAATTAACGATAAAATATGGTCCTATAATGTGTTATAAAATTTGGTAAAAGTGGTAAAACCAGAAATGTTAATACCATTCAATAAAATAATTTTTTTTCCGTGTAAAATGCTTAAGCTAGCAATCATTTCAAATGTTTCCGGACGATTTCAGACATTCTATACAATGACTAGGCATTCTATAAAATGTCGAATTGCATACAGTTACAGTATCACCTCTATAAAAGTACATTTACCTCCTATGACGAGCCTCGCAGATGCCTGAGACGAATAGTAATCTCGGTAAACGAAGCACTGATACATTCCCGAGTCTTGCCTTCTGGCCTGTATGAGTTGGAGAGTGGTCGGGGACGGAAACAAAACACGTGAGTCGGTGGCTATAAATCTGGCATCCTTTTTCCAAACAACACTCCCGATTGGTTGACCCTCAACTGAGCAGTTGAAGAGTCCACTCTTTCCAACATCAAGTTGCAACTCTTTCGGGAATATGTTAACTCTTAATGGTTCTGTAAATACAAAAACAATTCCGTAAATGTTTCTAGAAATAGATTACTGAATACACTTCATTTCCTTCATGAAACACAAAGTTGGTAATGGTTCTAAACAATATTCACGAATCTGTTTCTTTTCTTACACGAATATTTTATGTTCTAACCGAGGTTGAACAGCCGACCCAATTCTGAATTTACGATTATCAATATTAACTCAGTGAGCCTTGTGATTCTGAACTCAACCCAGAAGACAAGGGAATTCAAGCATATAAAAAAAACAAGCCTTCGTAAAGGACTTTTTGATAGAACTAACCGGCATTTGCGTTATATGGAGAATAATTTCACACGGTTAGGCGAATGATACTTTAATCTATTATCCGTCTACCACGGAATATCATTTTACATTAGCACTCACTCATTTTACATTAGATGGTCCGGTGAGAGCCGGGATCAGAATTCGTATCAACCAACCATCGCTGGGATTCAAACCTGGCTCCCCTCATTGGGAGGTGAATTTTGATTTCAAATTGTGGTAAATTTTCTTAAAACCATTTAAACATACAACCCTAGCCAAGAGTAGAATGATCCAAAATGCTCAGAAAGCAATTTTACATAGAGAGCGTATTAGAATTTACAGACCATTAACGTTCTATCTGATGAAGAAATCTAATTTACAACATTCTGTCTATGCTAATACTTTTGATCAATGTGACATTCAACATGCCATTTATTTTTGTTTGAGTCACCAAAGAGGTGTAAGTATTAGTTATAAATTTATTTCTCGAGATGTTTTTCTGATCCAATCATATATTTTATTTGCCCTGTATAGTAAGTAATTACACCAAATATAACGTATGTTAGATCTACATGTGTTCTAGAAACATTTGAAGTATTTAATAAGTATAATAAAAATGTAACTTTTTATTTTAAAACCAATTCCGCGCAGTTCTTAAAAATTTCAAGAAGAAGAACAGAATCATCAGTCATCTATACGTTTGAAATTAGGTAAAAGGTTTATTTGTTCAGGAGATAACCGAGATTGAAGAGTTCTTCATTATTTTAAAATAGTTTCCATGATCCAACATAAATCAATTTAAAAGTAAGTTTTAAAATATTTTGATCAATCTGGTTTAGCTGTTAAGAGGACTGTTATTTCTTGATTTTGGCAGAGACAATGTCTGTTTAATTATGTGGAAGATTAGCATTTTTTTAAAATTATTAAATACAAAAAAGTATAAGGGGATATTCATTTTAATGATTTTATTTAATGTTCGATAAATCTAATGTTTTATAATAATGTTATAAGACATTAATTTTATAAATGTAATTTTATTATAATGGTATTTTGTATTCATACTTGTATGCAATGAAATATTTAAAAAGTATTTTAACTAGCCTGGCATTACGTCGTAATAGCTAAATCTTGCATTCGAACTTGCGCATTTTATTCGTAAAATTGTATGCCTCCATCCATTTTTTGAAGTGTTAATATCTTAGCCACGGGGGCTGTGGGAATAGAGCTCGCCCCCAATGAGCTGATCCAGGTTCGGATTCCCACGCTGGACGGTTGAGTAGAATTCTGCTCCCGGCTAGTGCTGAAGTAAAATACCCTTAGTGGTTGATGGATCATATAGGTTAGAATCTCCTTGCCCTCGAGCTAACTGCAAGAAGTTTTTCTATATATATAAGACAAATGCTGATTGATTACATCAAAAGGTCCTCATAAAGGCTAATTTGTTCCAATGCTTAATCTATGATTTCCCTTGTTTTCTGTGTTGGGCTAAAAATTACATGGCCACGATGATAAACATTGATAGTTGTAAACTCAGATTTAGGTTGGTTGTTTGACGCAAGTTATAAAATTAAATTTAAAAAAAAAACATGCTAATTTAGTAAATTATATATGCTTACATTTCTATATTTGCGACGGCCATTGTCTTATTCAAAAGTCATAATGTTTTTATGTGAACATTAGAATTTTAAGGACTTTCAAGTCAACCACACGATTGCTCTAAATTCACAACATGCATTTGCAATTCATCCCCAGTGCCATATTTCGAAAGAATATTTACAGAAAGTATACAGATACCAATATACAGAAAGTATACGGAACACCCATACCTTCAACTAATAGTTCCACATTGGCTCTGTCTTCTCCAACAGTATTAGTCACTTGGCAAGAGTACTGGCCGGCATCTGATGGCTTGACTTTGTTGAATTTGAGTACTCCGTCTTCTTGTTTGACAGTCACAGCGACATCGGACAATGTTCGCTGTCCTGGTACTATTCGATACCATCTGTATACTGGAACTGGTATTCCTTGAGCAATACACGAAAGAGTGGTTCTATGTCCAACTTGTGCTCTCACTCGACTTGATCTATGAATAATTCTTGGTGGTTGATTATAGTGAGATTCTATTTTAGAATAAAAACATGGAATAGTTAAACAAATATGGGTGCTGAGTTCATTATTGTATTTTTTTAAATTAAATGTATTCTGGAAGTACCTGTTATTATTACTCTTGAGTAGTTGGAACTAATTTTCTTTTCCCTTGTAATGACGTTTTCAGAATGACACCGAAAGCTGAAGGTGGTGTCCCTTTCCCTTACGTTACGAAAATAGAGGCTTCCATCTTCCAATATTCCATACTTTCCTGGAAAGAAATGTCCGTCCATAACTAAAATGGAATTAATACTTTGAAAATAAGAAAATAAATGCATAGATTTAATAGTGGAATTGATCTGTTTTGAGCAGCAGCTTATAACTAAACAAAACATGTACAGTGCGCAAAAAAAAAACGGACCATCTTGAATAAGTTTTGATTTAAGGATCTTCAGGTTCCAGGACTCACTCTAAATAGTTCGAGGGGGTGACCTCAAATATGCTAATTAATAAGTGTAGACGGTATTTTAAGTTACGAAATCAGACACAAAAACGTACTTTCTCTAAATAAACTTATCTTTTTTCAACGGAATCAAATTTCTGACCCCAAGATATAAGGGGTAGCCCCAATCTGTGAAATATGGTCTTCATAGTTTGGTTAGAAGAGCGATCCAAAGTTTGAACCCCTTAATGTTAATTTTACGTTTTACATATTTTGCTACATCTCGAGAGATCATTAGAGAGAATTATCCGCAGATAATTCCATACAGAAAGTAACTTTTAGTAAATATTTATTTTTTGTATTATTTTATTTAAGAATGGCTGAAAAAAGCTTGAATTGTAAAGTATACAATTTTTTGCATCATTTTAAAGAATGTAATTAGCTGATTTTGCGCAAGTTTTGTATTTTGCTGTATAAAATTATATTTTTTAAAATGATGCAAAAAATCATGTACCTTACAATTCAAAATTTTTTCCACCATTTTCAAATAAAGTAATAACAAATAATAAATATTTACTTAAAGTTACTTTTTGCATAGAATCATCTTTGGATAAACGAATTTTATGATTGTGTGTAAAAAAATTCTTTTTCAGAAATCTCAAAAATATAGCGAAATGTGCAAAAAGTAAAATTTTAAAATTAAAGGGTCCTAATTTAAAAGCTCTCGCCAGACCAAACAATTGGGATATTTCTCAGATTGCTGCTGATATCTAATTTCGTAACTTAAAATATCGTCTGCACTTCTTAATTAGTAAATTTTATGTCCCCCCTCGAGCGATTAAGAGAGTTAAAATCCAATCATTAGATCATAAGTTATTCAGGGTGGTCCGTTTTTTTTTTGCACACTGTACAATATGAGAAAAATTAAGCAATCTTATGGTAAGTTAACTGAATACAACCATTTTGATCAAACGATATTGAAGTTAAATGAGAAAAATCCATTTAGCTAAAAGATGAATACATTCAATTTCAATGAAAAAAAGACATTCTGTCTCTTAAACATTTTTACTCTAAATGAATTTATATATTTATTTAGATAGTCTTTTTGAAATGAATTCCTACTGTCGAATTGAATAATCAAAACTAATCTGAATAATATAAATCGATTACTCAGTAGAGGAGTTAAATCTTCATTGAAGGTGTTAAGTGTAAAGAATTAAGGTTATCCTTACCACTCATGCTGTCCGGAGTGATTAAAAATCCATCGACTCTTTCCCATGAAGTTATCCTCACATAATCCTTTACAAAACTTGGTGGTGTGCATTGGAGCAATCCCATGTTGTCTTTAAGCACGAATTCATCATTTAAATGTATCTCATATCTTTGGTTAACCACTGAAATTTTAAAAACTCATTACAAAGGTCATATTATACAGTTGACAGAGAACTATGAAAGGTAATATTGTTAATTACCTTTGGATCTTATTTGTGATATATTACATGTGATGAAAGGCAATCCCAAGGCAAATTTAAGGTTTTAAATGCAAATTCAATCTGAATATTACTTAAAACGTGAGATTAGTTACAAAGGTGTACTTTCCATCTATGTAACATATTTTTTTTAACATTGGAATTCAGTTCTTGACTCTCAAAATATGATGCTGATGTGAGCTACCTAGAACAAACCTCTTCGCGCCAACTGACAAGTTTATTTCTCCAAGCACCCCTGGTTTTGCTCTGCACAGATATTGGTGCAAGTATCTTTGCCAAGCAAGTCTCGGCTTTCCTCTTTTCCGTTAGGTGCTCAAGTGTGTGCAATGTTATCAGGGATACCCCATTTGTCTAGTCCATCTTCTCTTAAAAATATGAATGCCTGGTGCTTTTGCCTTCGTTTGTAGATTTTTACTGCCAAAGGTATAATTAGGTTGATATGAAAATTATGTTGATTCAAATAATGTTGTTATGGAAGACTATAATTTGAAATATGCAATTTGTAAAGATCGTTAAGGATAGAAGGGGAAAGTTTGGTCTTTATATTACAATACTTACTCACGCATGATATTTTTTAAGGTCTGGCAACATTCTTATGTATCTTATTTACACTATGATAAATTATTGCAAGAAAATATCATTGTATGATTAATATTATTTTTAATTTCATAAACAAACAATGTTAATCAAAAAATAAATATTTGCATTTTAAGAAACATAATTTTTAATATTAAAGTCTAAAGTTTGAACAAAATCCATAGTATAAGGCCTAATTAATTTAAAATTTATAGAATTTTTTATTTTATTTTTTATTTTCTTTGAGTTGTTAAAAGATTGCATACAAAGTTTAAATGTATGTTAAAAATAAATTTTTTTTAAAAATTATGCCAAACATAGATGCTGCTAGTAGGCTAATGATTTTTTGAATTAGGTAATTAGTTCCAGAAATGTGACTTTAAAAATGCAGTACCTAAAAATTATATTAAATGAACCTATTTCTAAATTTTCGTATTGACTAAACTAGATCACATCTTCCAAATTGCGACTCCCGCCATATTCATAAGGTCAAAAAACCAAATGCATCGTAAAAAGTGAATTTTATACGTGGAATAATAATTATATTTAAACTATTTTCTTTGAACCATTAAAATGCCACCTTAATATGTTTAATCGAATCATTAGATCGAAAATTATTTAGAGTGATGCCTTTTTCGTTTTGGCTCGAAACAAATATAAATGGTTATGGAATTATTTAAAAATGTAATAAAAAGTTATTAGAATAACACTAAAATGACCAGAGCTGTCATTTTAACTTCAAATCAATTTCGATAATTTTTTACCTACGTAACTAAAATAAACAAGAAATTATCATGTCGGATTTACTGGAAGCGATCATTTTAACTGGGCTTTAGCATGCAAAGGAAACTTGTGGCGCCCTCTCTTAACAGACAATTCAACTATTTTTACGATAATTTATATTATTGCTGTCCAACCAAGGAAAAGAAAATTGATTTGACATAAAAATGAGACTTATAGGGTAACAATAAGCCCATCATATATATTTGACTTCAAAGACACACAATTGAGATTTTTTTTCTTTTCTGTACGGTGGATAGGATTAAAGCTCTCAAAGAAACAGAATTGTTTTGAAGTGAAGCCTCTAAATTGGATCTCTTCCATTTGAGTAGCTTTTGAAGGGCCAGATCAATTTGTATTCCAAACATGCACCGGCAACGTTCGAAAACATAAATTAAATTAAGATAGATAAGTGATCTTGTTTTCTGGTTGTTTTCTCTCCTCATTGCTATTCTGCTAACAAACTTACTCCCTAATTCATTTTTCTCTGTGAACCATTCGATATATATTGCGTTATTCTCCGAGTTTTGGAAAAGTTACGAACGTCAAAATTGCATTTTACGTTTGTTGAAACATACAGAAAAAGGCTTTGTCTTGTCTTTTTTCTTAAAAAATGTAATAGTATGTTTTTCATTCAAGTGTTTTCCAAAGTTTTGAAATTTGCTTTCTCTTATTTGATTAAAGTGTTCTCTTATAAATTTTTTTAGCTTTTGTTATCTTTATTTGCGAATTCTACCTCAAATAAATATTTTATAAACTTAATAAGAAAATTGACCATTGATCGAAAAGCTTATATTTCAAATATTTGAACTGATGGTGAAATTTAAGGGTGTACTTGAAAGCTTCTTTTCCAAGAAAAATGATAAAAATTTTTTTAGTGCCTTATGGAAAAGACATACTTTCTTGTTTGAATTATTTGTGCTATTTAATGGTAACTGATTATGCGAACTTTAAAAAGAACATATAAACTGAATATTTAAAAAAATTGTTTTAAAAGTCATCATAATTAATAAAAAAAAACTGTTTTTAGCATTTTTACACGCTGAAGCAAATTAGCTTGGAACTACATTTTTAAATATTAATAAATTAGATCCCAAATGCTGACATTTTCTAAATATGAAAATGCATGCCTCCATCTAATGTGTCGCATAAATGTATCCATCCCCCCACAGTTTAGATGTAAGTTATGCGATTGTTTTTCTTATAGGCATATTGCGCAATTTCAATAATTAGTCTATAATGCATACCTCTCAATGTGGTGAAAATTAGAGGGCCACGAGGATGCTTCCTTATTATGCTACTGTTTCTTCATGCGTCTCTGAACAGGTCATAATAGCGAAGCAGTGAGCGGCGGCATTTTCGAGCAGGAATTCTTATTCAATTTCAATCCTGATAATTTTCCCTAACTCCCCTTAAAGTTTGCAGCAACATTCACGTGGCCTCTTTCTATATATATCATTTCTAACTTAGCACATTTTTGCAAAAAATAGAGTAAACATGTCATTTAAAGAAATCAGATGCTTCAAGAGCAAAAATATTTTTGGATTTGAAATTCTAACGCCCGAATTTGAAAAGATCTAATATTATACAGATGCAACAAACGAATTTGTTCCTCAATGCTCCTCGAAGAGCATACCATAGAGTTATAAATAAGAAGGAGTGAGCATTCCTCCCCTTCCCTATAGGGGCGAGTGAAGTAACTGTCAAAGAGCGGCGACCATGTTGGTATAACCAGAAACTTCGCGGAGCCGCTCAGGTTTCAAGAGGAAGAGTTAGGTTGTTCTTGACCTTTTCTCTTATGATTGGAAAATTTCGAAAACGTGATTGAAATAGTTTTGTTGTTAATAGATAACACCTTTTTTCATTCAATTTTTCAACACTAGTTTCTTTTCTTCTTCCCAAAAAATAACGTTTTAAGATAGCTCTATTTTACAACTGAATTAAAAAAAGAACTTTACAGCAGTTTTCGGGAACTTAGGTTCCTTTTTATTTAATCTGGGCATTAAAAGTAATATATTACTGTTATTTAAGGGGGCTGCTTTCCAATTAAAAATTTATTCAAAGAATATCACTTTAAAACCACACTATTTTGAATACAAACAAAATAATATGAAATGCACTTTTCCTTAAAGTTAGAATATTTAAAGGGGAAAATATTGGTTTGTGCTAAAAGAATAGCAATAATCAACATGATGCCATTTGAATAAACACTTGGGAAATGAATCTAGTCCATAACCTACTGTTTATTACTAAGCAGAGAAGCCTAATTTCTTTTTCTCTAGCAAAGCACTTGATCATATGAAGTGTACAAAACTGTAATTTACAAATAGCAACGTAAAATAACTGTGTATTGGTTTTTAAAGGTAAATATCCAGAGTATTTAATATATAGGAATATTTATTTTCCAATTGAGGTTTAAACTTCACTCATGAAATGCTCATTCACAAAATACATGAAGTGGTGAGCAAATAATGCTCTATAATAAATGCTCAGGCATTATTATCTATAATGAATGCTCTATAATAAATTAAAGATTTGACACAGCAATTGAGACGTTAGTAGAGGAAGGCTCAGATGAAACAAATTTTAAGGAACTTTAAGAGATAAAATGAATACTAAAGCCTTTTTAAGGCACATAGAAATCCTGCAAAATACAAGATTTAAATGTCAAAACTTTGAAAATACAATGAGTAAATATATAATTACTTGCTGCTCTTTAGGAAAGAGAGTTATGTTAAAGGAATTATATTAAAAAAACAAAAAAAAAATTTAAATTACTTCTATTAAATACGATAATTTTAATTATATAAAATTGTTAAACGAAACACACAATCTCTTCTAGAACATTTTAGTAAACACAAAAGAAAAAAACAAGATAGCCAAGTAGCAAATTTATTGTCCACTGAAGTTAACAAGGTGTTTAAAAAACTGGCGTCTTGACTCGTTGTTTAAAGATAGGTTTTTACAATAATAATTTAAACGAACTTTAAAGTATAGATGCACAATTGAACGGATAAGATGTGCAAGATCATTAGCAGTAGGTTCGGTATCAAACTGATGTTCACTTAAAATTGAAAAATAATTATGAGAACAAACTTTTTCTAGGAGCATTTTTCATAATCAATATTTTTGAGTTTTTACAATTAGTTTGAAGGATTTCTTGTCTGAACGCAATCTCACATTCTTTGCAAATATGAAATACATCATTTGATGGATAAACTAGTCCACCTTCTGCTTTAAAGGAAATCAGTGACAACGAAGTTGGCATTTTCTCGGGATTCAACCTTTTTTCAACAATAGACTAATTGCTAAGATAAGATCTATTAGTCAGTTTGAAAAATGTTAAGACACATACAGCTCTAGTTCAACAAAGTTCGATTTGTTTTGGTTGTACCAATATGGCGCCGCGGTTGCAGTTAAGGCTTCGCGAGTTTGCGGGCATGCGGTCTCCTCCGATTTATTACTCTATTGAGCATACTTAAGATAATCTGTTTATCATAAGAAAGGTAATATAGATCTTTTCATATAAATGTAACAATATTTATTTCACATTTCCAAAACTTTGAAAGGACAAATGCAAAAAATGATAAAAATTCTACAAAATGTCATTGTTTACCATTAAAATGTTTAAAATAGTTAGAAGTTACTAATTTGTATCAAAGAAAAAAGTTTTTAAATTGACTTTTTTTATTAATGATTAAGATATAAAAGTTTTACTTTGTAAATACCTGTATTTCAATTAGTAGTTCAGTTTAGAAGATTTGATTTCTCTCTTAATATAATTTGTAAATTCTTCTTCGTAATTTTAATCCATGCGAATTGATTTTTGCTACTTTGTTATGAAGCTATTTTACAGAAGCATTTGGTGTGCGTTGTTTGATTTTAAGTGCATTTGATTAAAGCAGTATCCATATTTGGAATCAAAAGAAAACTTACTTTCTGTGTATCTTTTTTATTTACATAAGCACCAAAACCTCAAAATCCTATTGAAATAAGTATATCTAAACATCGTACTTAACTAAATTATAACTCGCTACCTATAAATTTTCAGTTCAATTTTTGAACTGGCAATTATTTTTCACAATTTTGTGCAGAGAATTTAAATAACGTCATCGAAATTTTATAAAGAGTTACAAAATGATCAAATAAAATTGCAACGTTTGATTTTTTATGTCTACTGTTTCCCTTAGTTATTAGATATAAGCTATTTTTTTTGTCCTCAAAAGATAAATTTGATTGTAGTAATTTTTTTTCAAAGCAGTTTCTAAAATTAAATTATGCTATCTTTCATTTCTCAAAAAAAATATTAACCTGTCTGTATTTAAATTAAAAGAGTTTTACTAAACTTAAATGTTTTAAAACAGGTTTATAGATTTGCCTCAATTCTATTTTTTTTTAACTTTAAATTTAATAATTTCCAGTAAAAAAAAAGGCTATTACCAATGAATGGAAATTTCTGGGCTTATTTGAATTCAAAGTTTGAGGATAGTTTTCTTTAACTATAAAATTTACATATAATTAAGATAATTTAGATGAATGAGAGTACCCTTTTAATTGCGTACTCACTACCAACTCCCACATACGAGGCACTACATACGAGGCACCCCAAATGGCGTATGCTGAAATTTTTGAACTGCATATCTTCCATGCATGGCCGAGCACCTAGCTCCTCTGTCAAGGGCTTTATCTTTTATTTTCCATAGCAGAAATATCGCGTCATTTTTTATTTTGGTCAAATGACGTGATCAGTACCTAAATTGGTATCCCTGACACAACCAACAAGAAAACTTAGAGTAATGACAGATTTAACGTGTGCACAACGACTGCTTAGTTGGCTGCCAGGATCGAGCTCACGGTCCTTCAGCCCTCCACCTGCAGAGAGTGCGACGCTTTTACCGACTTATTTACCGCAATATTTCCTTTCATGGATTACTATGCAATTCTCAATCTTTATGATGTGTTCCATCATGCGTCTAAGTTTGAAATTGTAGTACAGAATAACTCTGTATGTGACGAATGGATGTTAATGCTTCAGAATCTATTTTATGTTGATTGTTTATAAAGGACGGTTCGTAAAAACCAATCAAAATTTATTCTTTCAAGATCTTTGGCAAAGTTGAAGAAAGTCGTCTCAAGTTAACATTGGATCGAGGGATGATAATAAAGACTATTGAAATAAATTGAATCATTAGTGAGGATTAAATTTGATTTCCATGTGAAAATTAGAGATACATGTAATTTCAAGAGGTAATAATAATTTCTTTGTTAACTCCTCTGCATTTTTTTCAGGCATCTACCAGATTTTATTGCATTTAGTGCCGCTTTGTTATGAGCCAATCAACTTCTTTAAAAATTTCATCATGGTTCTTTCAGTTCTTATGGAGTTGAAATATCTCTAACGGAGAAATAACCAACATTTTTCGTTTCAAACCATTTTATCAACTTATCAACTCACTGAAATAAAATACTTCAAAATTAGTTTCTTAAAAGAAATTTATAATTACGAAATTCCCTTTATTTAATGGCTGACCATTATTGCAATATAGATACTGAACTGAAATTCTACTGAACAGTAGTGGAGAAATATTGTTTCAAATATATGGCAGAGATTTACTTGCTAAGCTCGATTTATATACCTCCAACAGCAAAAATCTCAAATAAATATAAAAGTACATTTTCAGACAATCAACTTCTTTAAAAGTTTCATCATAGTTCTTTCAGTTCTTATGGGGCTGAAATATCTCTAGCGAAGAAAAAAGCGACATTTTTCGTTTCAAACAATTTTATCAACTTATCAATCCACTGAAATAACATACTTCAACTCTTTTCTTCTCACAATATCGACTCTTTTTTTTCTTTTTCCTTCTGTCTAAACAGAAAGAAAATCAATTTCTCTACATTACAGCACCTCAACTGAGTCCATTTATTTTGATTATTCTCCGTCAACTGAGTTTCATATATTGCTTGTGCTACATTTTTGGAAGAATCCCATATTTCATTTTTTTTTTGAAATGAAGAAAGTTTGAATTGAAGTTTGAGAAAATGTTTTTAGGGCATTCGATGAATTATAAAATTTTCTCTTCATTAAATTTTTTACTTTTAGCAATTTCTCTAATTAATAACAATTTTAGCAACGGTGGACAAATAATAACAATGGTTTTAATTTCAAATTGAAATCATTTATGAAGTCCATTTCAGTAAGAAGTTTTCAAAAAAATAATAATTAAGTATATGCAAGCGGATCATTGGAAGTCACTATCATATTTTTGTAAGCTATCTACCGTCGACTCAAGAAAATTAAACGGAAAGATTTTAATGTTTTTGCTGCACAAAACACTTATCTTCGCCAAGTTTCAAAATTTGTGACAAAATTTGCCAACAGATGGCGCCTTTAACAAATATTTTCAAACGCTCTTTTCGAATTGGTAGCAATGACGTGTAGTCTGATGACAAAATCAGCAAACGCTTGTGCAAATATTTTAGTTGGAATGGTAGGATTTGCAGCACTAGACAATGTTGATGGTTTTTCTTTTAAGTGAAGCAATCTATTGACGACAATGTTTGCATGTAATGTTTGACTGTAACAAAGTTTGTCAACAGATGGCGTCTTTAACAAATACTTTTAAACGCTATTTTCGAATTTGTAGCATTGACGTACAGTGTGAAGACAAAAATAGCAAACGCTTCCGCAAATGTTTTTGCTGGAATGGTAGGATTTGCAGCACTAGCTAATGTTGCATAGTTTTGCTTTTAAGTAATGCAATCTATTGGCGAACTAATTAATTTTGAAATTGTAAAAAAGAAATCCTTATTTACTACGCAGAGCACATCAAATCATTTAAAATAGTTGAAGCTTTTTTTTTCAAATTTACGATAGATTTTTCCTCCATTTGGTATTACAAAGAATATATTCTTTCTTCTTTAAAATCCTACATAGCTTGGTACTAAAATACAACTGATTTTTAAAATAAGATTAGATTTTTTCGAACTTTTCATTAACATGTTCAACACTAATTTTAAAATAATAATGGAAGAAGTTAGAAATACTTTTCAATAAAATTTAAGTTCAGCGAAATGGAGCAGTGACAGCCAATTTCCAAAAAGTAATTTGTTTAGCTCATATAAAATATATTTGGCAGATAATTGTTCCGAAAAAATTTGCTTTTTCTATTGATCATAAATTTTTGTATGCAAGTATTACGAGTATTAAGTATGAAATTAAAATATTATATGCCTGAACCCCCCAAAAAAGTTTTAAAAAAATTACCAGCTCTGACGTGGACATCTCTACTTGCAACAGATCCAAAATTGTTTGTAGCAATACAAGAATAAACTGCAGCATGTATGTCTGGTCTATATTCATCTGGCGTAAATGGTGAGAAGATTAAAGCTCCATCACGTCGTACATGTCTCAAACCTGGTATATCTTGTAGAACTTGACCCTCATTCTTTGTCCAGGTTATGAGAGGGGCTGGGTGACCGTCAGCCATACAGGGTATGACAGTGCCACTTGAATTTGAAAATTCTGATACTGATGGAGGCTCCATGGTAAACACTGGACCACTTAATTTTAAATTTAGAGAAAAGCCTAAAAAAAGAAACATAACAATATTACATTTAAACTTGGATTCTAACATAGAAGCTGTTTAATTATCACTAATAATTTAAAATACTTTAAGTAATAAATTTGTGAAAATAAATTCAATTGTTTTAATATAAATTATATAAAACTGCATTAATCATTCTGCATACTTTAAAGATTTTTTTATTATTTGAGTGCGCAAAAGTTAAGAAAATTTTCTTTAAAATATGCCAAATGATTATTGTGGTTAATCAGAGAGAAGTAGTGAAAAAAAATAAAATGGCTATTCACTTAACCCAGTTTATTTTTAATGGTATTTAAAGTTGTGCAAACACATTTTATTTCAATCCCAAATGGCTTATAAGGATTTTAATGTTTCTTGCTCTGATTAACTTTGATCATGATTCTTCTAGTTTTTGATACTGTCATCAAATTGGTGTAGATCAAAATTGCTGTGGAATTTTTCATCAAACTTTTTCCCCGCTTAAATGATAATTTGTTACAACAAAAGTTTGCATTAATCTAACTTTATAATGCGTATTCGCTATAGAGCACATGGTCTAATAATTATATCAAAAATGTAGCTTTCAAGTTGCTGTGGATTGAAATCATTTTAAAATTCTGATCTTAAAGCCAGTGAACAGTAATGTGAATCTAATACACTGTAAAAAATTACAGATCAAACGGTAAAAGGGTAGCGGTAAAAGGGCAGTTTTTACCATTAAATTCATTTTTATCTGAACATGTAACCAGAAGAAACTTTATCTACAGCAATTTTTACAGTTATAAATACCGTAAAATAATCGGAATTCTCTAACTAATTAAATATTACCGCAAAAATTACGGTATATTATTTTATGGCAGCAGTGGATTTTACAGATGATGCATATGAAGTGCCGATATTTTATATCGTGATTTGAAGTGGGAATTTCTTAGAGTACAGAAAAAATAGAAGTATAAGGATTATTTATGTCTTAAAGTTTAAGCCATAAATAATTTTAAGACTTAAACTAATAATTTTCCCATTCTTAAGGCAAAACATGCATTTTCTCTCTTGGGAGAATCGGGAGTAATAAACGCTTGAAACAGATTTTATAGTGAACGTGCAGAAAAAAATAAAGCTTATGGCATGAAAGCAGTTCACTTAATCAAATTTAAATTTTACAGATTTTTTTCCAATTGCCATGTTCCTTAAGAACAGAAATTTTGTTTTAAACTAGATTCGTGTCGGCTTTATGAAATACATTTTACTTCAAATGTATCCGAGAAGATTTGATTCGTTTTATGGAATTTTCTTTAGAAATTAAATGCATCTAGTGTCTAAAAAATGAATTATTGACGTAGGCAAGTTAACAGCTATTTCAATTCTGAGTAAAGGAACTAAGTTTTAATTTGATTCTGCACTTATTGTACCCAATATTATGCAAACTTTAAAGTCGAATACTAAAATTAATGATTGTTAATGCGTTGGTTGTTTTATGCATAATTAATTCAAATGTGGTTATATTTCATAACCATATATTTTAGTCTAATTTTAAATAAAAAAAAATATATGCAAAAATAAAACTGAAAGGGAATCAAACTTAATTTTGGCTAAATTGTACATCTAAAAACTTTATTCAATTATTTTAATAAAATTGAAAGATACGCTTGCATGATTTCGACTTATAACTTTAAAAAAAATATTTGCAATGAAGAGTTAATAGAATTATTATTGTTATAAGTAGGACTGGGCGATATTAGAAATTATATATCGTGATGCATCGTCAGTTTTGCATCGCGATATAGCGATGTNAACAAAATGTAATGCCTTTTCCTAAGGGAACTATAAAACTGTTGAATGTGAATCTGAAATCTTCAGATTTAGTTTTAAAAGTTTTAAAAATTCTCACAATAAAGTTTAAGTGAAATTTGCTGAAATAAAGAAACATTCAAAATAACTTAAGGGTGCAATATTAAAAAAAATAATTATCTTGAAATCTCTATCATGATTTTTTTACTAAAATATAACTATATTTTATGCATTATTTAAAGCAATTTTTTGCAAAGCTCCAACTCAATATCTTTCAAGTGTCAGAACAATCATTTAGATAATATATCTATATTTGATCTTTTTTTTCAATTTAATGTTTTTCAAGTAGTTAAGAAAAATTATGGAGCTGTGAAATTAACAAACAAATGAAATAATATAAATAAAAGTTTTAAACATATGACATTACATGGCAGAAGATTCATAACTAAATAAAGCGAACACGCTAATAACAAAAAATAAATAAATACTAATTAGTAAAATTTCATTCTACAATAATTTCAAGGCAAAATTCTATCTAAGATTGAGTTTTAATACCTTCCTTTTAATCTATGTCTAGCGCACATTGCAATTTAACTATATAAACGATAGAAATTTTTTTTAAAAAAAAGTGATTGACTCAAATAATCGAAGAGAGTTGGAAATATGGAAAGCAAAAAAAAAATGAGAGAATAAAATAATAAAAAAAAAAACAAATTAAAAAAATTAGAAACAAAGTAAGTGAATAAAATTATGTAGGAGTGTTGGAAACATTAAAATCTAAGTGAGTGAGTTGGAAGTATTGAAACGAAGTTAAATTATTTTACGATTTCCACAACAATCGATTCGAAACGAAATTTATCCCTTTTAAAACTAATTCGCAGATCCATGCCATTGAATTCACCGAACAGTTTTCTTTCCCCGAAGTCGTTTTTATACCGTAAACACTTTATTTTTACGAAATAAATTCAAAGCAAAAATACTTTGAACTCCATTGGGAAATACTTAGATTCAATTTTTTTTTTTCATTCCAAGAAACCGACTTTTATTTTTTACACCAAGTAAGACATTTCCTTAAACATGTTCTTCTGAGAATATTTTATAATATTTTTCATCCATTATATTAAATAAAAACTCTTTTTTTATAAGAAGTGTGGATACTATAATGTTTGCTAACGTCTTTACAAGTTGATAAATTGTTTCAGATCTTAGTAAAAAACATAATTCACAATGATGAACAAACCTTACATCAGTAAATATCACACACGGGGATAAAATTCTGGAAAAAACTATCATACTATACGGTAATGACATTTCTGGTAAAAAAAAATCCATAATACTGGTTTATAAGACGAAATGATATCGTATTTAAACAATTCCTTCGTTAATTTTTCCGTTCATATGGTAACGGCTAACCGGTAATTCTGGTTTTCGAAATTTTTGTTCCCCTTACATTACATTAGTTCGCGCGCAGGTCGTCGGGCTACCGAAGCGGGGGTGCCATCCCCTCCGCAGAGGATCAAAATTGTNTTAAAAAAGCTTTCCAGTCATGTAAACATGAGAAAAGCTATAAATGTTTATTTCCAAACAATTATGGTAACGGCTAACTGGTAATTCTGGCTTTCAAAAGTTTTGTTCTCCTTTCATTACATTAGTAAAAATTATAAGACTAAAAATTAAATTTAATCGAATAAATGGTTTTAATGTCATGCTCTAAAGTATCATGATAAAACTACCAAGTCTTACAACATTTACAGAATTTTATGACATATTATAAAACGATATTTTATTGTTAATTTCAAGAAAATCATGACCAAAGCACATCGAAAAAATTACCAAGCTCTTTGTTGCCTCTGTAATTCCAGAATCATGGTAAATCTTACCATATTCTGTTAGTTTTGACTAAGCCTTTTTTCTCTGTGTATTCCTCTGTAATAATTTTGTACGTCATAAAACAAGCATGTAAAATTCCTGAAATATCAAGGCATTATCTTTCCATTAGAATAATGTCTTGCCAATTCAATTGACCACTACGCTAAACAACCAATCAGAGATGAGATGGCATAAATGTTAAAACAATCAATCACAATGTTTATCTTAAAATTCTTCATTGAAATATACCAATTTAACTTTTATTCATAGAATAAGATGCACTTTTAAAAAAGGATACTCAAATTTTGCGAAACTTTCTTCGTTTTTGTCGAAACCATTTTCTTGTTTATGCTCCGAGCTAACATTTTGTCAAAGTGACGAAATAAGTATCATCCCTTTTTCGAGAAGTTGTAAGTGTATTTCGAGTCAAAAGTAAAGAAATATTTTGTTATACTATTTCATTTTTCAAAAAAACAATTATAATAAATAAGTAAATAAAAATAAAAAATACCACGAGACTCTCGCTGTGCTTAATACCTAATGGGTGACATTGTTTTCCACTTTTTCGCTGTCATATCCTACTGATGAATCAACGTCAACCCAACAGCACAACGACAGATTGAACGGAGAGATAGAATGCAACGCATGCCTGTAGCGGATTCGTGCCCGGGGTTTTCTTGGTATGAGATTAACTCCTTAATCACCATGCGGCCTAGTCGTCTTATGTCTTCATTATGGCTTCAATCATCTATCCCTCAATCTAGATAACACTCTCCTACAATGCACTGCGATGAGATTCCGCATCGAAGAAACATTTTCGTCATATATTTGAGAGCTCGCGTTTTGTCACAAATTACTTGATTTTGTGATGAAACGATTCTCTAAATTAACGACATACAGATCAAAGATTATTGAATCGTCAAATGTGAGAGTTGCAAGATTTCTAAGAGTGAAGCTCTTTTCTTTTTAAAATTTTATTATATTTTTAATTTAATACTTTGAATCGAAACCGAATCAGATAAACATTTTCATTACTCGGAGTGTCTCTAAGGTTATTTTAATATTTAAGCAAATGATAGAAGGTCCAAATCGTTAGTCAAAACTGTAATCTTTTCATTTCAAAGTTAATAACCCCATTTCCTGCTTATCTTTGGAATGACCTTGAGTAAACTCACCAATTTATCTTACCTGTAATGGCTATATCAAACACACATGTATATTGATACATTACATATACAGATGACATAGCTTCAAATGAATGCAAGAAATTTAACCGTCGTAGTTAAAGCGGAACGCAACATGAATAAGACATTTAAACAGTGATAAACGGAAAATGGCCA